CAAATGTAGCGCACGTGGTTTTGACTCTTTATCCTATGGTGTTTTACCATAGGATAACACCACGAAGCGGAACCTAAACCCTCTTTGTGCCACGTGACAGATGCCACGTGTCACATGCCACGTGTCCATGCCACGTGTCCACAGGAACCCGAGGTTCAGGGCCTTGGGCCACTGAACAAAGGAACGGTGCCAAACTCCCAAGCACGAAGCCAAGGAGTGACGGAACCGAACCACGGAGCAACTCCCAAGCGTAAAGCCCAAGGAGCAAAGGGACAGGGGCCCGGAGCGACTTGGAACAGTCCTAGAGTAACCAGCATCCCAATGCCAGGACCAGCACACAAAACGGAGCCAAACGGAGTCTGGCGCTATTTCGGCATACCGGTGGCCTAACGCGAGGACATGGGTACTCCACCAACTAGCATGGAATGGAACTTGGGCTTAGACCCAAGCCAGACGCAGAACAAGGACAGGCACGCAAGCGGGAGCTAGACTATGCCTCAGGTTGGTCGGCCATGCCCGACCTACCCACTATCCCTACTATACATTTGGAACCCCCCACAGCCCCCCCCCCTTGAGGAACACACGCTTTGGGCTTTCACCCCAAGCCTCCCTTAGTATTAGGAGTTAGTCTATAGGACAAGCTCGAAACTTACTAAATATGGAATGTCCCTAGATTGCGAATTTGGACACGGGACGAACACCATTGTGTTCAGGACGATCTCTACATTCCGTAGATATGCCAAATGAGCAAATCTGGACACTTTCCATAAATAGCATTTGGGACCAAAATGAGACTAACACAAAGGGCATGATAGCGAGGGTGTTTGGCAGACACGATAAGCTATCATCCGGCGATATTGAGGGACCAATCTCAATACGCGAGGGTTCTTGTCAAGCCAGTGCAAGACAGAGCAAAAGAGAACTAAGAGCCAGGCCGAGTATGCTCAGCTAGAAACACATAGGAGTTCCTACCTTATGTCCATCTGGCTAAGTACAGGTGCTAAGCCCAGTAAACTAACACTTGAACAAGAGGGGCTGATAAAAGGAACCAGCAATACCGACCTCCTGCCATCGTGGCAGTAAGGTAAGAGTGTCCGTAAGGACTAGCCGACAGGTAACTTTCGATACCTGAAGTCACATTCGCGACAAAGGGCGTGACCGTGTAAACAACTCTAACTGCCTGTTTACAGTAGTCTATCTAAACCTTACCGACGGGTTTGGTTTCTTTGCTCAGGAGGGTTAGGGGCCTCCGGCTTCTCTCTCTATGTCCCTGCGGGCAGGGGTGTATCACACTTTTGTACACTGGGTGACTCCCAGAGCAGCAAGGGTGGCTGACTCCGTTGGTCATTTCCTTGTCGGCGACGGCCGGAATGTGTGAGCTGGTAGCGCATCCGCGTTAGACAAAGAGGTTGCCCCCTAACTCATTTAAGTTGGTGCATTTCTCACATAGTGTGAGTACCGTGAACTTTTTCTGGAGTTGTTTCCTTGGCGGTATTCTAGACTCGAGTATGCATCGACGAGGACGTCGATCTTCCCAAGGGGGGGAGAGTGTCGCGCATGTGACTTCGGGTATCGAAAGTTACCTGTCGACTAGTCCTTACGGACACTCTTACCTTACTGCCACGATGGCAGGAGGTCGGTATTGCTGGTTCCCTTTATTAGCCCCTCTTGTTCAAGTGTTAGTAAACTGGACTTTGCATCTGTACTTGGCCGGATGAGCATAAGGAAGGAATTCCTAAGTGTCTATTTAGCTGAGCATACTTGGCCCGGCTTGTTAGTTCTCTTTTGCTCTGTCTTGCACTGGCTTGACAAGAACCCTCGCGTATTGAGATTGGTCCCTCAATATCGCTACATGATAGCTTACCGTGTCTGCCAAACACCCTCGCTATCATGCCCTTTGTGTTAGTCTCATTTCGGTCCCAAATGCTATTTGTGGAAAGTGTCCAGATTTGCTCATTTGGCATATCTACGGAATGTAGAGATCGTCCTGAACACAATGGTGTTCGTCCCGTGTCCAAATTCGCAATCTAGGGACATTCCATATTTAATAAGTTTCGAGCTTGTCCCAAAGACTAACTCCTGATACTAAGGGAGGCTTGGGGTGAAAGCCCAAAGCGTGTGTTCCTCAAGGGGGGGGGGGGGGGGGGCTATGGGGGGTTCCAAATGTATAAAAGGGATAGGGGGTAGGTTGGGCATGGCCAACCAACCTGAGGCAAAATTTAGCTCCCGCTTGGGGGCCTGTCCTTGTTCTGCGTCCGGGTTGGGTCTAAGCCCAAGTTCCATTCCATGCTAGTTGGGGGAGAACCCATATCCTCACGTTAGGCCACCGGTATGCCAAAATAGCGCCAAACTCCATTTGGCTCCGTTTTGCGGGCTGGTCCTGGCATTGGGATGCTGGTTGCTCCAGGACTGTTCCAAGTCGCTCCGGGCTCCTGTCCCTTCGCTCCTTGGGCTTTATGCTCGGGAGTTGCTCCGTGGTTCGGTTTCGACACTCCTTGGCTCCATGCTTGGGAGTTTGGCACCGTTCTATCGTTCAGTGGCCCAAGGCCCTGAACCTTGGGTTCCTATGGACACGTGGCATGGACACGTGGCATGTGACACGTGGCATCCGTCACGTGGCACAAAGAGGGTTTAGGTTCCGCTTCGTGGTGTTATCCTATGGTAAATCACCATAGGATAAAGGGTCAAAACCACGTGCGCTACATACATCAACTACTATTCCAGAGTTAAAAGAGGTTGATAGTAACATTTATAGAATCTGTTATAACTCCTCTTGCTCTTATTACCAATTCTCATGTTTAGTCAGAGTTTTTTTATGGGAATCCTAAAATAATGCATACCATTAGTTTAATCACTTTACAGTGATTGTTACCTATCATTCTTGGGATGATGCTTAGCATTTATATGAGTTTCCACATGTCTTTAAGGAACAGCATTATAGTGGTACAATGGTTTAAGCACAACCACTTATGTGGATTAGAGTATTCTCCTAGATGTCTTCAAACGTGTATTTAAATATATTGATAATTGTGATAATGCCTTTTAATAATTGCATTATCTTTGTTAAAGGCCATTTGAGTCAATAATGCAATTTGGCATTTGTTTTTAGAACTTTTTGCTTTATGTGGAAGTGGATCAAGTTGGGAATGTTATGCCCACCTTAAGATTTTGTTTGACTTGCATATGCATTTGCTCCAACCATCCTTGATAATACTTTTCAACGAACATAATGTTATAAGATATCACTTCTTCCATTTCTCGTTACACATCCTTTAACTCCACTTTCTATAGAAGATGATCCTATTCTGATAAAGGTTAATGTTATTGTTGCTCGTGTTTAAGGAAAAAAACAAAGACATGGTCATGGCCATGATGTCAGCTATTGGGCATATGATGAGGTTGGCCACACATATCGGTGTTAACGTTTTTTAAATTAACATCTTCCATTTCCTGAATGGAGGTATTGGCATTAATAATGTAAAGGGTTCCAAGGATAGTGGGTAAATTGGGTATACCTGACCAATCTGAGTATAGTTTAGTTTATGCGTGCATGCCTATCCTTGTTTTGCATCCAATTTAAGTCCAAGTCCAAATTCCATACCATGCTAACTGGTGAAATACTTATATCCTTGCATTAAACCACTAGTATGCTAAAATAATGTTAAACTCTATTTAACTTTGTTTTGCATATTAGTCCTGGCATTGGAGTTGGAAGTTCTAAGATTATTCCAACATTGCTCCATGCTCCTGCTCCTTTACTCCTTAAACTGAATGCTCATGACTTATTCCATGCTCAATTCTGTCACTCTTTGGCTATATGCTCGGGAGTTAGGCTCTGTCTCTTTGTTCAGTGGCCCAAGACCTTGAACTCAAGTTCTGCTTTGCTACCCTTACCGTTCTACTTCATGGTTATCCTATGGTAAAATACTATAAGGTAAAAGGTAAAAGTTATGTGCATTACAATTTTCATAATCTTATAGTATATGGTTTGTCTAAGGGGCCCTTTACTCAATAGAAAAGACCATATTAAGTGTTGGAGTAAGTTGGACCATAAGTTTATGAAGTTCAATATAACATTTAATAGATTAATTTGTAATAGTTAAAACACTTCATAAAAAGGGATTAACTAACACCACCTATAGATCCACTAATGCCTCCTTTTGATGTTCCTCCAGATCCTAACCCATTAATCATAGAACTTTGACTATTTTCCATCCTTTCAAAAGAAGAGGATGATGTGAGGTCCAAGTGTACAACTACAATATTATATACTAATATTAGTATAGTGGGATTTTTATAGGTATCGAATTAGTTTCAATCCAGACCACTCGGTCCTATATATAAACTAAGGGTTTTGAACTAATTAATATATACATCTCTATATTTCATTTTCATATTTTTTATACACTCACAATATAACAAGCAGATATAAACACTCTTTTTTTTATATATATATTTTAGTGAGTCTCTCATTAGTCTATACCTCAAGCAAAATCATTTCTTTCATTATCCCTTTACCATTGCTAATGAGACGGAGATGGTGAATATTATGTATAATATACACAAAGGTATTCTATCATATTTCATTTTGAAAACCCATAACATCTTTTAACCCTCAATCCAATACACCTACACTACTTTGGAGGCAAAATGTGTTTGAGAAATATTTTACTTTTAATTTCTTGATTGTTTATTCTTATGAATGAGTGCTTCAGATTTTTTTCTAAAATCTAAAGTTTAGAAGAAAGTTAATGGATAACTTCCCAGGGTTTATATTTGTTTTAAGTAGGACATCATTATATTTTTTGTACAATAATAGAATCTTAGAATATAAATATTCCACATTTATTTAAACTCCTATTCATTTTTAAAAGCTCTTAAAGTTAAAGAGCTTGTTGAAGACTAAGGGCAGCATTCCGCCAACCAGCACCAACTTTAACCACGTCCTGGCCTTTGCCGGAGAGCTGTGCTGCCACCTCTCTCAGGCGTCAGTCCGCACGTCACGTATATCTGGGCCAGCTCCTCCATCTCCTGCCGGGAGCGTGCTGCTGCCGCTCCCTCTCTATCTCGGCCACCTTGGTGTCGCACTGTGAGGACACCGACACGAACTCTCCCACTGCCATGCTGCACGTGCCGGTGATGAGGCCTGCGATGCCCAAGAGGATGATGCTGCGCTCGTTACTGTTCCTGGCACTCACGCCCAGGAGGAGCGATGCTATCGAGACCAGGCCATTGTTGGCGCCAAGGACGAGAGCCTGCAGCCACGGAGCTCTGTGAGCAACGCGGAGGCTGCTCCTGCAGTCCTCTTTGGCCACTTCTCCATCTCCCTCGGCTTGTTGGTTTGCTGCTTCATTTGGTAGCTTTGGGGACTTTATTGCCTCGTGATATAGTTGTTTTTCTAGATCCTCACTCTGGAACCATGGAAACACGTGCTGTTTCCAAGATCGTGGCTTTGAGTATTATCTGGGAGAAGAATTCTAAATGTGAGGTGAGAAAACATAAAATTTAAAAATGACTACCTGGTAACTGAAGTATATAATTCTCGGATCCTGCAAGAGCAGCATTCTCGTCCAAACGTGTGGTCTTAAGTTGTAACGAACTGTGGAGCCCGCACACTCCACGGTCCCACTCGTTGGTTTCTACAAGGGAAGCTTTGTCTCCGTCTCTGTCTCGTCCAAATCGAAGCAGTTCGTCGCGTCACTTCCTCCAAGTCTTAAGTTTATGCTCCTCCTTGTCGTCTGGGAGCTGCATTCCCATCATTCCCAGGACGTTAGACGCTGGTCCAGGCAGGCCTTGCTGCGATGAGTACAAGTCGAGCAGGTTCTTAAGGAGGTTGATGTCCACGTCCACAGGCAAATTTTCGTCTCCGGTAGCAGTAGCGGTAGCAGCAGTAGATGCTGACCCTGACGCGTCAGGTTGAGCAAATGTTTTGGAGATGCTCAAGTTTTTCAGCTCGTGTTGGATAGCGTCGGGGTACTCCTCCATAAAATCATCCTCACCTTTCGAAAGGTCTTCATCTTCGGAAAACAATTTAGAGCTAGCATATTGAGAGGAGAGAAAACGAATACCTTCACCCGAATCTGAATCTGAGGAGCCCGACTGTAAGTCCCCGGCACGCTCATTATCCAGTTTCAGTGCTGTTTTGAGTTCGTGCATAAAAATTTCCAAATCCGTAGACACAGGCTCGTCATCTATCAGGGTTGATGGTTAGCAAAGTTCAAAACAAGATCACAAAATATATCTTACTCTTTGGTACCTTGGTACCCTCAAAACTTGAGATTTTGTCCACAAAGGACTTCATGTAGATGGTCTCAGCGACCATGGGCACAACCATCGCAGTCATGTTTTGGATGCTCACATTCTGGGTGAAGAGATTGTAGTGTTGAAAACTAAGGAAGAAGAGAAAAACTCTATTACTCAGATATTATCATTGCCATACATACACAGGTGAGAGTCATGACTCTCCAGATCCACCACGTGTCACCACGTGTCTCAGCCGTACAGTGATCTTGGATGTACTACATCCTCACACCCCCACTCAGCCGAGATCATCATGCGAAGGTTGGATCAGAAAAAAGAAATTAATGCTAAACCATTGTGAACCTATCTCACTCCCCCCACTCAGCCGAGAAAAGCTGAGCTCATGAAATCAGCATCTTGTGGTGTTGAACAAGAGTAGCAGCAAGTTCCAAGGTACCCAAGCTTGCACACAGCCCAGCTTGTATTAGGACCCATCAGGAACCAGCATCTTGTTCCATGTCCCCCACTCAAATGTGATCTCTCCCATCAGCCTCAAGGCCTTTGCGCACAGCAATTCCCGAGAGAAGCCTCTTGGCAGCATCAGCAAGTCTCCAGGAAGCCTTCCCTTGTAGCAGCAGGGGCATCAGATCGTCTCCAGCGGTAGCAAGCAGTGCCGCAAGCAGTGCCCTTCCAATTCAAATCCAGGCCAGTCTCGATCAAGAACGGCCTCCATTTTAGGGTTGCCTGCACAAGACAAAATAAACAAGAAAACCTCCATATTGATATTTGCAATTCACAGCCACTCCAGATCAGGGGGCTTATTGTCTTCCTCCTCCATTCAGCCCAGGATTTAATCCTTGAGCTCCGATGCCATGTTGAAAACTAAGGAAGAAGAGAAAAACTCTATCACTCAAATATCATCATCACCATACATACACAGGTGAGAGTCTGTGACTCTCCAGATCCACCACGTGTCACCACGTGTCTCAGCCATACAGTGATCTTGGATGTACTACATCCTCACATGTAGGCGAAGTCTGCAGAGCTGGCTTGGATCACGAAGAGGGCATCCGAAAAATAAGCTGGTGATGGGATCCAGAGGTGGTGTTGGGCAGGTGCTGGAGGCACAAGAACTTGAAGACCTGGACGTCTAGATCGAAGGGGTTGTGGTTCTCGTAGACCGAGGCGGCCGTGGATCCTCCATAGGCAAAGTTTGCGCCGCGGTAGAAGTTGGAGGCCATGGTGATGCTCCACAAGTATGGGGACAGGAGAGGGAAGCCGAGGTGTGAGGTAGTCAATCCATTGCAAAACCTTCCCTGGGAGTGTTGATTGTTGCGATAAAATCCTTGCCTTAGGGGCAGTGTTGCAATGGGATCTGGGAATTGTGAAGATGTTGAAGTATGGAAATCCAGTGTCCTAGTTGCCAGTGTCGGAGTAAGAGTTACCAAATTTGTAGACGGACAAGACTTTCAGCGTCTGGATCCCAGCCACGGCTTGAAATTAAAGAGAATGATACAAGAATAATAAACCACAAAGACATTTTTAGGAAACTAATGGGAGGATTGTGGAACAATGATCAGATTACAAATGAATGGAAATATATGTTTATTTAAAATAACTGTGCCACTTTTGTAAATATTAAAATTAAATTTATCTTGGGCCATAGTTATTTTTCTATCCTCTCTTTGGAACTTTGGATACCTTATTGTTTTTATCTTTGAAAATCCTCACTCTATTCCAATGATAATCACCAGTGTAAAAACTATCCTCTGGAAGCACTATAACATTAACACTAGCTCCGACCTCACGCTGGATTATGCTCTTGGCTTGCTCAGCATCCGCTCTCAGAAGTTCATCCCATCTATCTACACAAGAGAATTTGTGAATTCAATCAGAAAATCAGAGAAAAATGTGGAAAGATCACCCTTGCTTCCATTCACATTCAAAGCATAGACAATGAGCATAAGGAGGATAGAAACATAGCCATTTATCTTCCTCATTCTCCCCAAGTTACTAATATCTAGATCGGATGGCAAGTTTTAAAGACAAGGAGGAGCTCTGGATGTATCAACCATAGGCTATGATTAAAGCAATGCAGACTTTTGTTATTTAGCTTGGATCCAAAGAAGGGGTTTAGGGCACGGAGGCTAGAAAAATGCGGTGGGTCACAAGCGTGAGAAGAATCATTTCGATAGTGTTCAAGGGAGAAGATCCGGTGCTTCGCGAGGTGAGAGCCCAAATCCCAGATACTTGGAAGCGAGCCTGGAGTGATCGCTTTGGTGGGTTTTCTCGATCGCCAGATGCAGGAAGCTCGGCGGAATCAGGAGCAAATGGTGTTAAAGGTCTTCCGTACGCTCCATGAGGAGCTCTTGAAGAAGGAGCAAGTGATGATCCAGGCGGTGAGCGAGTGTTTATAAGATTGTCTCTCGTTCTTTCTTTCTTTCTTCTCCTGAATTGTGACTCTGGCAGCGTGAAGAAGCCACGAACAGGATAAAGAGTGTGACCCAGCAAGTACTCGCGACGCACCCGGAGCTATCGCAGAATCAAAAGTCTCAAGAGCTGACCATGGACGAGCTCTACACTTATATGCAGGCTCTCAAGCAGAACAAAATTCCATTCGATCTCAATGCCGACGTACGTGCCCAGCTCGAGGAGCTCAAACGCAGCAGCAAAGTTGACGACCAGAGCGACGGTTCTCCGGATCAAGCTCGCAGTGTGGACATCCAAGCCCATCTCGAGGAGCTCAGCCGTGCTGACAATCCTCCGAACGATCACTATCAAGCCGACACTCCTCAAGCAGATCAAGCAGATGCTCCTCAAGCAGCCAAAGAAGATCACGCAAAGCCTTGAGGGACAAGTTTTGTTTTTTTCTCCCTCTCCCTTTCTTGATAAAGCATAGCCAAAGCAACCGTCGCTCTCGGAGCAAAGTCATGAAGATTCGCCCAAACTCTTCTACTAGGTGCGTGAATCTTCGACTGGCAAAACAATCAATTCCTTGCGCGTGGTCTCTGTACTGGGCAGCCTCTCCGCCGCTGCGCCATCGCCATCTCTCCACCTCCATTTCTCCACCTCCATCTCTCTCGAGCCTTCGTCCATTCATCCACGGGCAAAAAAAAGGAGACGTGGAGATCTGGCTCGCGAGTTCTCTAGCGTTATCCACTGGAACAAGGATACAAACAAACAATGCAAGTCTCTGGCATTGATTTGTGTCGGTCGCTCCAGGCTCCAGCGTTGACAAAGTTCTGACCCCACGGGACCTCCCATTAGATTTCCCCGGGAAAAGAATTCTTCTTTTGAGCTAAAATCACGGCACCGTACCGTACGGTAGACCCTCGCTGCCACGTGGCGGATTCTCTTTGCTCCATGTGGCGGTGCATATTCCGTTGGCTATACGTTTGGCCAGCTAGATCTATATATGGTTGGCTTCCTTTTTAATGCGGAGAAACGGGCGGAATGTTTTGGTCGAGAACTTGTTCCTCGTAGGGTTCTTGGCTGGAATCTCCCGGAAGATAGAAATGCTTGGCGCGCCACCTCCCAACGCCGCTGCCTCCGCCGCCTCTGCCGTAGCGCCCACGCTCTCGGGCTATGACATTGGCCAGAATTTCACCTCGGCGCTCGCGATTGGCGCCGCCGCGATCGTCTGCACGCTCGCATTGCTCGCCTTCTACTTTTGCAGGTATGTGTCGCTGGACCGCGGCGGCGGCGGCGGCGACAGCAGTGCCGCCAGCGGCAGCTCGCAATGGAGCGGCGGCGGCGGCGGAGGAGGAGGAGCGGCGGCGGCGGGGCACTTGGAGAAGATCCCGGTTGTGGGGGCGGGCGAGGTGGCAGGGCGGATCAAGGGTGGCGAATTCTGCGCTGTTTGTCTCACAGACTTCCAGCAGCAGCAGAGCCGCCTGGATCCTGCCAGTGACAGGCTCCGTTTCCTTCCGCACTGCTCCCATTGTTTCCACTGCGATTGCGTCGACGAGTGGCTCCAAAAGCATCTCTTCTGCCCCGTTTGCCGGACGAGCTTAGTCGCCGCTGCCGCCACCGCCGCCGGGAGCAAATCACAGTCGACTGCCACTGACACAGCAGCAGCAGCAGCAGCACCAACACCACCAGAGCAATCGGAGCAATCCGAGCTTCAAATCGTCATTGTAGTTGATCCTGGAGCTCGCACCGATCGGGATCGCGAGGTGGATCGGGAAGAGACAAAGCAATGACACTGACAAAGTTGATCAAGATCGGATAAGCTTGCAAGAACAGAGGGAGTTAACTGATCTCACCGGTTCGTACGCGCACCATACGCATCCATATCAAAATCACCCGCACGGCCTATCGCCACACACATTGTTGGCGTGAGACACGTATTGCTTGCTCACACACTTCGTGCTACCAAAGAAAATAAAATGTGCCCATCTCTTCGCAAGAGAAAGAAGCGTTTGTAAGTTGTAGGATCTATGATCACTTCGAATCACTCCTCCCCATCTTGCTGTCCGCACTGATCGAACAACAATAAACAATAACAAAAGAATGGGACAAGGGAGACCCTAATCATTTGAATTTTATACTAGACGAATATCTTTTTGTACTGGCGGGAAGTTTAGTAGCTAGGGTTCCTGAGCAGAGGGAGGGTTTCGCGTCGCCGCCTCGCCCGTGGATCACTCGTAAGGTTCGCTTCGCCTAGATCGCGCGATTCTCTAGCTAGGGTTTGCGGCGCGGCCATGGACGATGAAGATTTCCAGCTCGAGGACGATGAGGAGGAAGAAGAAGGGGTAGAAGATCTCGCCACGCCAGAGAACAGGAAGTCCGAGAATGTGGCAGCGCTACTGAGGTGAGATAATCTCTGGCTTCTTGAGCACATTTCACTCTCATCTTGGTTTTTAAATTTTTTTTTTCAGGGGAGACTTGGTTGTGAAGCGACAGGCATTGATTCCAAAGGTTCTCACTGTCACAGACGGCGCCGCCGTGATCAGGAGGCCTTTCAAGTCCCCGTGTCCTGGCGGGCAGACCAACAGTGACGAGCTGCTTCGGCGCCTCTCCGCAAGGAAAAAATTTGTTCCTTGGAAGAGACAGCCTCTACTTCCCTTGAGTCCCAATGTTGAGACGCTGCCGATTCAAGAGGATCCCAGTGAAGGGAGTATAGAGCTTCCGGATGACTTCGAGCCTTTGGTGCTGTGGCAGCCTGATGGAAACGAGGATGGTGCGACTATAGTGGTCGATCCAATTGTCGCGAAGTTCCTTCGACCACATCAAAGGTACTCTGTTGTTTTGTTTTCTTATCCCTTTCTTGGTTCTGTTTTCTTTCACAATGGAATGTATATGCAGGGAAGGCGTCCAGTTCATGTTTGAGTGTGTAACTGGCCTTCGCGAGTTCTCAAAAGCTGGCGATGCGGCTTGGTCTGGATGCATTCTCGCTGATGACATGGGGTACAACGTCCAGTTCAGTTGTTGGACGCCTTCCTCTTTAACGATTTATTTCCAGGCTTGGGAAAACGTTGCAGTCTATAACGCTTCTTTGGACATTATTGAGACAAGGTTTCCAAGGATCGCCAATAGCTAAGCGGATTATCATTGTCACTCCCACCAGTCTGGTAAGTAACTGGGAATCTGAGATCAAGAAGTGGCTTGGTGGGCGTGCTAGCGTCATTGCAATTTGCGAGGCATCACGTGCTGAAGTTCTTCAAGACGTGGCCAGTTTTCTTTCACCCAGGAATGCATTTCAGGTATTTCAAATTTTTTTCAAACGTAAATTTTCTAATCATGGGCAGGAGTTTCTGTAGATTCTTATAATTTCATACGAAACTTTTCGATTGCATGCGGGCAAGTTTCAGAAAGAAGGTGCTTGTGATCTTCTTATTTGTGACGAAGCACACAGGCTGAAGAACGACCACACTCTAACAAATCAAGTGAGCTTTTTACATATGTCGTTTTGGTTTTTCTAAGGGGTTGGTAATTTAGGCACTTGCCAGTCTTCAGTGCCATAGGAGAGTTCTACTTTCTGGCACTCCAATGCAGGTCCGCGTTTCAATATAATTACTTGCAGTACATCATTTTTCTCTTGCAGAATGATCTAGAAGAGTTTTACGCTATGGTGAATTTTACGAATCCTGGCATTCTAGGCGACGTGGCTGCATTTCGCCGGTATTATCAGGTAAACAGCGGCAGTTTTTCCTTTGGTATTTTGAGTGTTTGTATCGGTCTAGAATCCTATTCTTCGCGGTCGTGAGCCTGAGGCTACAGAAGAGGCAAGAAAACTAGGATTGGAGCGCTCTGCAGAGCTAAGCGAGAAAGTCAATCAAGTATCCAGCTGAGAGTTCAATTTTGATACTGAACTGAAATTGGTTGTCTTATAGTTCATACTTCGGCGTACGAATGCACTTTTGTCCAACCATCTTCCTCCCAAGGTGAATAAAGCTTTGGTACTTTATCGCTAACTTTATCTAAATTTGTAGATCGTGGAGGTAGTTTGCTGCAAGCTGACGAACCTGCAACGAGAGCTGTATACACACTTTATACACTCAAAGAATGTATGCAAACTTCTGAGCATTTAGCTTCTTTCTGAACTCCATGTTGTGCAGGTCCGTCTGGCATTGCAAGACAAAGCAAAACGTGCTCGTGTCCTTGCATCAATTACGGCTTTGAAAAAGCTTTGCAGCCATCCAAAGGTAGATCGATTCGCAGCGAGTCATTGTTTCAAACTCTTGCCTGCAGCTGATATATGACACTGTTCGTGCGGGCGGATCAGAAGCCGCTGGCTTTGAGAATTGCATGCAATTTTTTCCGAAGGAGATGCATACTGGAAGGTAGATCCTTATCAAAAGCCATATTTTCATCTAACAGGGTATATGACATGGTACCCTGACAGAGGGACTCCTTCCGACGGAAGCTGGGTTAAGTTGTCTGGAAAAATGTTTGTTCTAGCACGTCTACTGGAGAATCTACGGAAGAAAACAAACGATAGGATCGTGCTTGTATCGAATTATACACAGGTAAAATTTCTTTTTTCCCTCTAAATTTAAATAAATGTTTGCTCTCAGACCTTGGATCTCTTTGCTCAACTCTGTCGAGAACGGAACTATCCCTATGTAAGGCTTGATGGAAGTACGTCGATTGGGAAAAGGCAAAAGCTGGTGCAAAAGTTTAATGATCCGTCACAGGTTATTATGACTTTAATGCATTTCGTTTATCCAACGTTAAACTGTCGGTGAACAGAACGAATTCGCTTTCCTGCTGAGTAGCAAGGCCGGTGGATGTGGATTAAACTTGATTGGCGGCAACCGGCTGGTTCTATTTGATCCTGATTGGAATCCGGCAAATGACAAACAGGTAACAGAAACGTTCTGAATATCATTGCTTTAACTAGGATGCAGGCAGCAGCGCGTGTTTGGAGAGATGGCCAAAAGAAGCGTGTGTACATCTATCGATTTTTAGCAACTGGTACAATCGAAGAGAAGGTAGCATAAAGGTGTAGTTGTGAAAGCGCTACTTTTTCTAACACGCTTGTCGCAAGCAGGTTTATCAGCGTCAAATATCGAAGGAAGGACTTCAAAAGGTGATCAGTGGCGACTCCAAAGCTGAGGTTCGAAAGCTGATTAAATTTTTGAAGAGAGTTGTAGTCCTGTTCCAGGTCAACGCGCTATCCACAGAAGATTTGAGGGATCTGTTCACCCTTCGCGACATAAGGTGATTGCAATGGATTATGAATTCCTTGCGGCTCATTAAATCGTTTTTTATCCAGTTCTGATACACATGACACGCTTGATTGTGAACGTTGCGATGTTGAAAATGTTCCAAATGAACTAGCTAATCAACTAGGTGATATAGGCGCTTTCGCTGGGACTGCCGGCTGTCTGGAGAGGCAAAGGCATTGGGAGAAACAGGTCTGGAGGTCTACTCGATGGTCAATGCATAGATAAAAGTTTTTTTCTTTTTCCTGTCGCCAGATAGGTGAGCCTGCCGAAGAGGACCTGATACGCTGGGCTCACCATTCGCATCCATCAACAGTCCCTGATGTCATCTTGCAATGGGCTGCTGGTGAAGAGGTGAGTGCGCAGTGTCTCCTTAAGAATTTGACTGAAAGTGGATGTGGACCAGGTTTCATTCGTTTTTACGTGCCAAATCGATGGTAAAGTAGTTCCTATAGACTCGATTTTACCATCAGCTGCCGCCGAGGAGGAGAGAGATTCTACGAGAACGGCTAGAACCACGCTGCCGACGTTCGCGCAAAAAAGAAAGCTTGACAAGTCAGTACTACAAGCCGCCTGTTTGCGTTCGCCGAAGAGGGTCTGCATCGATTTAGAAGTAAGTGATTCCGACTGAGAGACAAGGAGGGAAGGGCCCCCTCTCCTCGAGAAGATGCCGAGCAAATTGCAAGCGTGCTGACGTCGGTGGCTTATTCCCCTCGATCGACGTATGAGGTACGTTCCATTTTCCTTCTTTTCTTTTCGCTGGTGTGATCTCATGACGGGATTCTGATTGCTAGGATCGAGACGACGTAAAAGCTATCCAGCCAGACGCTACACTTTGGTTTGGTTTGAGGGGGCAGATTCCTCAGTGTGTGGCTTTCTGCAGCGATGACCGACTAATGCTACTGTTTAACTCCTCCGGTGTCAGCTCAACACTAAGTCAGCTTGCGCTCCTAATGACCTGGAGCCCCAATTCTCTCCTCGACGCGGGACTGACAAGCTTGGCGAAAGGGAAGAATGCAAGACCCGAGATCTTCGTCGCCACTCTCCTCGTCCCTGGCAACCGATCGCCTCACGGTGGTGATTGTCTGCTCCATCCTCTTCGCATTCATGCTGCTGTCGCTGCTCATCTTCTTCTACGCGTGCAAGTGCGTCGAGGCTCGCAACAGGCGTCACAGGCAGGTACAGGAGGAGGGACAGGGGCTCGTTGGTGCTGGTGCTGGTGGCTTCCAGTCCAGGCTGGGACTCTCCAAGGATCTAGTGAAGCGGCTGCCGGTGGTGAGCTACGAGCAGCTGGTGAAGATCAAGAGCGGCGAAGAGAATGTCGAGTGCTGCGCCGTGTGCTTGATCGAGTTTGGGAAGGGAGACTCGGAGATTCGGCACCTCCCGCGCTGCGGCCACTGCTTCCACACTGACTGCATCGACATGTGGTTCTTCTCGCACAGCTCCTGCCCGATTTGCCGCGACAGTTTGCAAAAGGAACCGCTGCTCGAGGTGGTTTCCACCTGAAGATCCTCGGGTAAGAAAAGAAAAAACTCTTCTCTCTCTTTCACTTGAGTTTTTTCCAAGTTCGTCTCGTTCGCTACTTATGGGTGTGGTGCGTGAAAACAGGAGCCCAAGGAAAGAACACTCGGGAATGTGTCTATATCAAACTTTGGACGTCGTTGAGGAAAGGATAAGTCGGATCGGTCAGTTTTCACGACTCTCTTTTCTTCCTCCTCTTTTCCGGAGTTTCTATCGGAAAAGAAGTGAGACCACTTTGTACACGGAGTGTAATTACAGCTTCAAGACACAACCGAACAAGTTCCTACGATGTACACAACGAAGCCGATTAAAAAAAAAAAATTCTTCTCTTCGTTTAGCTTGCTCTCGCTCTCTCGCGCGCTACTGCTGCTAGATCTGAGTATAATACACCGCTCGCGAGGACAAGAAAGAAAACTTGTCCGCGGATCAGGTCTCCCCGAGCAAACCCGCGCATAGCTGAGCACGCTCGTTCCGCAGCATCGCTATCTCCATACGAATTCCTTCGTCACCTTGCCCAGCCCCTTCTGCTATTGTCTGCTCCAAGGTGGCGATTATCCGCTCTATACTCTTAATCTATGGAGGAAAGATTAAAAAACAAGAGCGAGAGAGAGACATTCTTACCTTTCTATGAGGCCACCGACGCATCCCGTTCCTCCTACAAATCTTCTTCAACACCGTTGGACAGATTCCCAGCTCCTTGGCGGCGGCATTTATAGGAAGGTGGAAGTGCTGCGCTAGATCGGACATCTTGAGCTTGCCGGTTCTTTCCCTCTGAAAGTGCAAAAACACTCGGTGAGGAGAGGAGCAAAAGCAAACACACCGGTGTGATCTTACAGTGAGAAACTCATCCCTTTGGCTGGGGGGCGACAGAAGGAAACCTGTGCGGCAGCGTTGCTCTTTGGAGGCTTGACAGGCAAGTTGGAACCGTCGCCAGGGTCCATGCTGTCCAAGCTGCTGCTTCGGTTTGCTTTGCTCGGCCCCAGAAGATGTTGCTTACCAAACGCGTTCAAAGTATCGGAGGCTGTTGGAGAACAGAGCTCAGCACATGTTGGTTTAGCAAAAAACATATAAGAGGAAAAAGGAAAAGAGGACCAGTGTCCGGAAAAGCAAGAAAGCAATAGAAATGTCTACAAAAGAAAAAAGCAAAACGAAACACGCATGCTGTCCTATCAAGGAAACAAGAAAACGCACCGGAGTGAAGGTCCGAGAACAAACTGCGGCCAAGTTGCTTTGGGAAAGAAGCGGACGACTCGTTCAAACAGTCGGGCCCGATTCCAAAACCGGACGCTCCGCCCGTGTCAAAGCTCCCCGTGGAATCGTGCCGCAGTACGAAGCCTTCCTTCCTTCGCAAGAGGCTGTACTGGAGTAGAAATTGCTTCACATACTCCGCGTTACCCACTGGAAACCTGCAAAGAACAAACAAGCACGGAGCTAATCAACTCATAATGAGAAAAGCATCAAAGATGACAACAAAGAGAAACCTTTCACAGGGAGCTTGGCTTACTCAACAATCTGCTGCTCCAAGGTGGTGGGAAATCCATCGTCCACACAAAACCGAGTGTGCAGCACGGCGTTGTAGCTCTGCCCGTCGCATCCGTGGATCTCAAGCTTGGTGTCTTGGACTCCTGCACTGATCTAGTACAAGTCATGGTGGAGCTCATGCAGTGTGTATAGTAATCAACGAGTCAGACGAGAGAAAAACAAAGAGAAAGAAACAAGAACAAAGAGACCGAGAGAAGGAGGAAGAGAAGAAAGTTACGTACCATTTGAGTGGATAATACAGTGTAGGATCTGGCAAGAACCGCACTGGAGATTATACTGATGAACCATGTTGTTTGTCCCGCTGCTGCTACCAGCATTGTTGGACTCACTGCCATGGCTGCCGCCGTGCGAAGAAGGAAGAAGAATGGTGTCGGGTGGCAAGCTCCAGTCCCCCACGAGATTGCTACACGACTGTGCGTGGATCTCGGCCGGAGCCGCCTCAAAACCAACGAGCTCCGAGCCATCGGGAGCAACACCGGCGGCGGCCGCGGCGGCCGCGGCGGCCAGGAACGAGCTCCCATGCTGCGCCAGGAAGTTGTTGAGCGGGAAGTTGAGCAGCGCGCTGGCGGCGGCGGCAGCTCCAACACTCCTGGATGGCGAGCAAACCTCCAGCTCGATCCCGTCGTGGGAGTTCCCGTTGCTACTGTCGTCCACGGCGGCGGCGCCACCAAAGAGCGAGAAGGAGTCCCTGGCCATATCTGCGTCGATCTGATCAAAGGCGATGAGCTCTCCATTCAAGCCATCGTCAGCGGCGGCGTCATCCTCGGACTTGATGCTGCTCCCCTCGAACAAGAGGCCGCTAAAGTCGGGGCCGTGGCTCGTCTCGCAGGGCCGCGCCATCGCCAGACTCTCGTACTCGCCGCCGCCGCCGCCGCCGCCGGTCAACGGAGTCAACGGCCTCGGCGCGGGCGAGGGGTTGACCAGGAAATTGAGCAGCACCTCTTCCGGCGGCTTGTTGTTCCTGAGGAAATCCGCGATCGTGCCGCCGCTACGCTGATCAAACCACGGCAATGCCAGTGCCGTTGGCGGCGAAGACGATGACATTGGACAATGCAGTACCCCCTTGCCGCTGATTCTACCATCAAACCCTTGCGCGATGATCTCTTGCTCTCTTCATGCTGCCGGCAGTGACAAAACCCCACCGCGTACCTCCGCGCAGCCGCCATTGGGAGGATACAGCGTCGCCACCGAGCCGCCGCCGCCGCCTCCGCCTACCCCATGGATGCGCCAAGGAATCGCGGAGAGGATCCTCACCATTTTCTTGCTCTGCTCGCGTCAAGCGGTGTTTTTGAGGCCGTGCCGGCCGGCGGCATATTCCCACCTCAACCCCCCGCGCCCGCATAAGCCCTAGTTAGGGCACGCTTGGCGCGCCCCAAAGCCCTAATTAGGGCACGCTTGGCGGTGGAATGGATGGACGTTCCAGCGACCGCGGTCGCGCTCAATTCGCGTCTTTGATGGATCCCCACCTCGTGGAACCACCGCGTCTCCTCCATTCATGAGGCCCGGGAAAAACCAAAATTCGGCAACTGGACTAAAATCGCAACCCAATTGCAAGGTGATGGAGCTAGATAGATCGAGCAATCCGTCCATTGATTTCCTCCTTGCTCCTGGCAGTGCAGGTTTGATTTGATCTCTCCTCCTTGATCATCCTTTCCACTCCCATGGAGCTCAATTCCTCCAATTCCGTCAACCACGGCGAAATGGAGCACCAGATCCTCCATCTCAGCAACGGCGCTATCATCACGCTCATCGTCATGGTGATCCTCACATTCATCTCGTTGCTGGGGCTCCTGGGCCTCTACTTCCTCTGCCCGCGCCGCCGCCTCAACGTCGTGCTCAGCCGCTCCGCCGCCGCCGCCAACCTCGCCCACATCCACATCCACGCCGCCGCCGCTCATCACCCCAAGCCCGGGCTGGAGCCCCACGAGATCAACAAGCTCCCGCTCCTCACTCTCCAAGACCTCCTCTCCAAGTATTCCAAGAACCGCGCTGGCGCTGGCGGCGGCGTGGGATGCTGCGCGGTGTGCCTGGCGGAATTCTCCGATGATCAGCCGGGCGACGAGAAGATCCGGTTCTTGCCGCGGTGCAGCCACTGCTTCCATCCCCACTGCGTCGATGTGTGGCTCCGGACCTCCGCGTCTTGCCCTCTCTGCCGATGCGCTGTCCACCAAGAACCGAGACGAGAGGAGGAAGAAGAAGAAGAAAATCACCGCCAAGATCAGGATTTAACGGTGGGACGAGAACCAGCCGACAATTCCAACCCTGCTGCCGCTGGAATCGCTCAATCCTGATGAGATCCTGATCTACGGGCCTAGCAGAGGAAGATTCTTCTCTCTTTTCAAGCGCATCAAGCTCTTGCTTTTCAATTTTCTGGAATTTCTTGATGGCGATACCTATAGTGGCCATTTCCCCTGCTATAGCTCCTGTTCCTCCACTCAATCCAGATAAATCACTGCCTCCCCGATTGAAATCTCAGCAGCCCTCGCATCGCAACATCGGCATCGATCGACAGCAGCCGCGGCGCCGCGAAAAAATGGCAAGGTTCCCGCCATTCTCACTCGCTGGGGAAGAAGGAGCTCCCGATTCGGCGCCTATGATCCACAATCACCTCTACCGCCACCACAAGCCCTTCCATCTCACCACTCTCACTTGCGTCGCGATCGTCCTGTGTGGAATGGGGGCGAGCCTCTCGATCATGGTGCTCTTCTGGTGCTTTAGCTCGCGGAGGAGGGGACGGCAGCAGGGGGAGGGAAGAATCGGGCCGTCCGTGGGGGCGCAAGAGCGCCAGACGCGCGCCAAGGCGACCGTTGGATTGCTGCCCATTGTCTCATCGGACGATGCGCGGCGCGCGGACGAGTGCTGCGCGGTGTGCTTGACAGATTTTGGGCGGAAGATTGGCGGTGGGGAGGAGGAATCCGAAGATCTTGATTTGGGCGATCGTGAAATTCAGAGCTGGGAGATCCGTGCGCTGCCCGGCTGCGGCCACTGCTTCCACACCCAATGCATCCAGCTCTGGCTTTGCTCGTATCTCACTTGCCCCCTGTGCCGCAGGGGAATCGCGGCCGATGATCATCAACCCTGCGCTGGATCGATCGTCGCGAATGGTGCAAGCTCCTCGGGCTCTCTCTGCGATCGGCAGCAGCACCGGCGCAGCAGCCGATCCGCCCCATCCTCCCCCGCGCCGGTAGCCACCGATTGCGAGTGTGGGTGAATTTTCTTGGCAAAGATAGTTGGTGTAGCTGTTCTCGAATTTCTAGCACGCAATCAATCATCGCATTTCCTGGCATTGTACAAATCGAAATTCTTCCTGTTTGCTGGATTATAATAACGATTCAAGGACCCTGTTTGCCAGCGTCACCCATGGCCAGAGAATAAACACCATTGCTAATCAATCAAGAGTAGGAAATGATTGATTTCTCTACGGATGTTTCGTTTTTCTTCCTGTTGCTCTTGGTAGATGTAGGAGAGCGACCCCAGAAAATGGATGGTGACCTAATGTTCGGGGTTACTTGGCGCCAAGACCTCCAAAACTTCCTTTGCTAGAAGACTTAGACTTTTAGTCTTTAGCATTACTGTTCAAGAGAGGAAAACTTTGAGCATTAAAGAAAGGAAAATCTCACTGTTTTGGATTGCGAGAGACGATTTCCCGGCTTCTGTACGTAATCCAATGCAAGTTTCTGGTAGGCCTAGCTAGGAATTTGATGGCGACCTCATACATAGTGGAGTTGGAGCGAAGGAATTTACGATCGATCGTGAGAAAGAGACTGGAAGAAAAGAAGAAAAATCAAGTAAACCGAGCTTCGCGATTGATAGCTACACCATTGCGCTCTTGGGATTTGCTTACTTTGATCTCTCTTGTTATGGCTAGCCACGGAAAGGAGAGATAGGCCTTTGCTGCGACAATGCTTGGAAGCTAAACAACAGGCAGTGGTGGCGACTGGCGGGCGGCTCGATCAACACGCGCCGTCAGATGCGACGTTCCGGGCGGGGACCAACGACAGCGATTGCGCGCCCGGATCATGAATCCTCGTCATCGCCATAATCATCATCAAAAGCTTCCAAAGTGCTTCCAAAGACAAAATAAAAGAAGAAGAAGAAGAAGACTTTGGCTTGGCTCCACTGCAGTGCTGCCATGCGAAGCTAAGCAAAGCGACTATTGATTCGTCGCTCTCCAGCTCATTGCTCCAATCCAATAGAAAAATCTATCGACGGGGCCAAAAAGCGTAGAAAACTCTGTTCTTGTTCTGGAGCGCTCGACTTTTTTTGTTTTTCCATTCGTCATGAAATTCGAAGGATAGACAACGAGATTGACACGCTGGTTCGATCGATCGATCGATCGCTGCGAGCGAGCGAGCGAGAGAGCCAGCGAAAAGAATTCTAAATTTCCATGTGACTTCTCTCGGTCGATTCCTTTGGATCGACCGTCGAGCAGGGCCTTATTTCACAGAACGCGCAGAGCCTGGAATATCCGCCGCGAATATGCCCCGGAAAGAACACGAAAAGGAGAAAACGAAGAAATGCGAGAGCCCACGCGGCACGATCATCAGCCACGCTCTTGGGGATGGATTTGGGGGATCTCTATGACGACGACGCGATCATCCCGGCGAGCGCTGGAGCTGGGCGATGGCGGGAGGAGCTCCCGGCGGCAGACGGGGCAGGAGGTGTGCGAGAAGAGCCACATATCGATGCATTCCGTGTGGAATCCATGGCCGCAGCCGGGAAGAACCCTGATCCTCTTGTCCTCCTCCCCGAAATCGATGAGGCAGACCGGGCAGCAGCACTCCCCCTCGCCCGGGGCGCTCGATGATGATTCCCTTCCCCTCATGGCGACGAGCGCCTTGTAATTCACCACCTGGAAGCTCTCGATCACGTCCCTGCGCAGCCCAATCGCGAGCTTGTTCGCGATCGCGGGCTGCGAATTCCCCGCGCGCCGCGCGTCGTCGTCCTGGGAGCACCCGCAGAACCACAGGCGCAGCAGCAGGAGCGTCATGAGCGAGAATCCAGTGACGAGCACCGCGACGAGGATGATCGTCCCGGCGCCCAGGCCGTCGTTGCGCCTGGGACTCGCGAATCCAAACCCCTGCCAGCCAAAGAAATTGTTGTTGCCAGTGCCGGCGCCCGGCCACGGCGGCCACTGCCCGTCCTCCATGCCATTGGACGGGAATGGCGGCCACGCAAACGAAGAGATCGAGCCTCCGGAGCTCCAATCCGCCATGGAAACATGAAAATTCCTCCTTTTCTCCGCCCAAGGAGCGAGAGCTCCAAGAAGAACAGCCCCCTGTTTTTCCGGGTTGTTGTTGCCGCCCTAAATTTATATCCAAAGAAGGGGAGGTTTTTAGGGTAAGAGCGCGCGAAGCTGGGTTTGGCGGCTTGACACGTGGTGGAATTCCGCGCGCCTCTATGTTCTCGCACGTCTTCTCCCGGGGCTATGACATGGGGCGAAAGGCAGGACTTGGGCTATGACATGGAGGGCCGTGCACATCCTAAAGTTTCCTGTTCTAGAAGCCTAGAAGTTGAAGCTACCGCCTTCCAAATTGGAGGCCAAGGGTTGAGAGATTGATTCCCGGAAGCTTTCTCTACGCGCTTAATAGTTTCTATCGTTCGTATCTCGACTGGGTTATAGATTGCTTCTCCATGGGCGAAAGAAACTATCTTCCATTTTGACAGGGTCTCTCTTTTGAAGGGTCCCATTTTTATTTTTTTTTCTTGCCACGTTTATATCAATCTACAGGACATAAGTTCTCCGATATAGATCAAGAAGGAAGACCTTGTTCTCCTTGCTCTGATTGTTTGCAGGACCACGCAACTTCTTTCGCTTTCGATCGTCTCTCTATCGCGTCGCGACCTGGATATAAGCCGAGCGATGATGCCATGCGAGCCAAAAAAGAGCTCTCTGCTCATCGCATAGAGACAATCCCTCCTGCCTACATTGATATCTCCAGTCCGGACTTTAACTGATATGACAATCCAACTCCTCCTGCCTCTACGACTACGCGAAAGAGCTTTGCTCGAGAAGAGGGAAAAACCAACGCCGCTACGAGAGAACTATCGATCGTCACCGGGAATCCACCACCACCACTACCATTTGATCTGGCTGCTGCTGCTGCTGTTGTTGTTGCTGCTGCTGCTCGAGGCTGGAGAGATCCGACCGGCAAGTCGGGCAAGTCTTGTGCGAGAAGAGCCACATATCGACGCACTCGGCGTGGAAGGCGTGGCTGCATTTGGGAAGGACCCGGACCCTGTCGTCCAATTCACCCAGGCAAATCGCGCACGCCTCGCTACTGCTGCTGCTGCTGCTGCTAGTGCCCCCCTCTGGATTCGCAAAGCTGCTGGTGATTGGTATCCTTGCTATCGCCTCCTTGCTCAAGCCGGGCTTGACAACTTCCACCTGTTGCGCGACGCGAGCACTCTGAGCGGAGGAAGCGCGGCCGCACATCCATATCCCGAAGGCGATGAATCCCACCAGAACTAGCAGACCCCCGGCTGCTGTCATGACAACGTTGACGCCCTGTCCCAAGCTCGAAAACTTCGCTGCCGCTGCTGCTGGAGCATCGGCAGCCATCTGGGAAGAGCCTGGCAATGTTGCCTCCGGGTATCCTCCAAACCCAAAGCCTGTCATGTTCGTGCGAGCGATCCAGGAGCACAATACCTGGCGAGTTTTTAAACCCCTTTAACACGGTACCCATTTCGTGCGCCACAAGCAACCCGCAGCTGCTCGAGAAACAACGGAGAAGGTATCCGCGACGTTCATGCCATGCTCCATGTTTGTTCCTTCACGGGCGACTGCCTGAGACGTGCACAAATTGAGTTTTTAGCAAGGAGGCCGAGAGAAAAGAATGGAAAATGTTGGACTCACATCTGTGATGACACACCTCCATCACGGGAATGATACTTTAATTGACCTGTCCTTTGCGAGAAAAGATTAATTTGAAGATTGAGACAAAAAGCTGAAAAGAACCTCTCTCGTGAGGAAGCTTAATTCCCCGGACCCAGAACTCACTCCTACCAAAGTTACTCGGGGTGCAACCAGGAAGTCAATGGCGGTTCTCACTGATGCCGTGCCTGGTATCAGAGATGGAGGATCTTGCATGACGTCCACAAGCAATGGATCCACCTGGAAACAAAAGAGCGAGGTTAGGATTCTACCAAAAAGGAAGCTTGTAAAGATCCAACCTGGTTGCAGTCTCTGGCATGAACAGCTCCAATGCACTGGCCGTTCTCATCAGACACTACAGGAAGTACATCTCGATCGAGGAAGCACATCAGCACATCCTTCACCTTTTGGGAAGACGAAAGCGGCTGTAGAGTCTTCAAGCTGGGAATGATGCTCTCCAACGAAGCCTTCAATGATATCTGACAGCAAGCATCGCACTTAGAAAGCTCCAATCGAAACCTTTGCAAAGACCCGAACCTGTTCTCTTATAATGAATGGTTGAAACATGTTCTCAGTAAAATTAGTCATTGCCTGGAGGCGTACGATGGCCTACAAAGAGAGGAGATTAGCGGGCTAAGTAGGAATACACATACCGTGAATCCACGCTGACTCAAGTGTAGAGCTTTATTCAGGCTTGTCATGTTCTTCAGAACGTTCCGTGCAAGAGTTATCTGAAAGAGAGCCACTGTGTTGACATAAAGTCAAAAGTAAAACAGCGTACATGTACCTCGCCACTGACCACTGCAGCTTCGATTAGTAGCTCATCTGCCTCTAGTCGATCCTCCGCCCAAATGTGCCCGGCAGATCCCACAGCCATTCTCGACTTGAGAAGCGAAACTTTCTCGACGTCACCTATCTCTGAAAACGCCCTCATCATAGAAAGGAAAGCATGCACTCGTGGCCTTAGTCGACGGTCTTCCTTTGCCAGACATTCCATTTCTTGAAAGAATGTCAAAGCGTCTACAAGACAAAAGAATAAGTTAGATGGTACCAATGTAGCAAATGTACTACCTGTAGGCGAGCCAGCTGTTATGCAAGCGTCGATGATCGCAGTGTATCCAACGCGATCTATCACGCAAGACGTGGATGCTTTCATTTCAGCCACCATCTTCAACACGCCGTCCAGATTTCCAGCATCTGCAAGACCCTGATCAAATGAGAGCCACCTTTCGCAAAAAGCTCTTGTCGCAACGCACCTTTATGAGGGTCGTGTACGTTACCACATCTGGTGCCAAATCTACAGAGTATTTTCCTGCTTCCTGGCAAACGGCAAACCAAAAGAGAACGTAACTAATAAAATTCGAACAAGAAAACCAGAATCAAAAGACCTTCATCTCCTCTAGAATCTCAAGTGCCGCGTCCATGTCTTGTCCTCTAACGCATGCCATGACAAGCGAATTCCACGAAAGCTTGTTTAACTGCATTCCACGCAGCTGCATCTCTTCTCTAACTTTTAGAGCCTCCAAAGGGTTCTCTGATCGAGCGTACCCCTGTGAATAGCACGCATTAGCGTTTGTGAGTCATACCTTAAAATTGGTATACCTTGATCAGCATATTGTATGTCACCAGGGACGGACCTTCGTCTTTTATTACGGAGTGGTATCGTTTAAGAGCACCTCGAGCGCGCCTTGCATCCCCTGTATGGGAGTATAGCAATCACCTTTCTAAACAATAACAAAAGATACAAATACCAGCATTGGCACAGGCATTTATTAGCGTGTTGAGATGAATCAGTGAAAGTTTTGGTTTGCCAGGAGCTGTGCCAAGGTCCATCGATTCCAAAATCTGGAAAGCAGCGTCCAAAAGTCCTGCCTTTCCAAGCCCCTATTTAATGATCAAATTAGTGATTCTCAATGATATCATCAATGCAGATAAGAAAACAAACCTTTATAAGAGTGCCGTAAGTGATTTCGTCAACTCCACAAGCATCTGGTTGTACCATGTATTGGAAAAGCTGCATGGTTCGATGAATATCACCACAATGCACGCAAGCTTCCATCACAGCGTTCATCGTTTTCCGATTCACTAGTTTCTTCTCCTTTGCACAATCCAGAATCTCAAAAATCTGTCCAATGCAACACGGAGAACGTAAGCCGAGCTGGATGCCATGCCATAACTACCTCTTTCAAACGTCTCTTTCGACTCAGCTCCATGATCGTCTTCGTCAACTCACGCCCCTGAAGCTTCCTCACGGCCCAGAGCGGCAGCTTTTGCTTCCAAAGTGGATCTCGCTCGCCATCTTTCCTGACTAGGGCCGCAAGTTCTTCCCTCCTTTTCCTGACCTGGATGCCACACGAAACCAAGTAAAATGATTTGTCACGACAAAGAGCATCTGGTCGAAAGAACTGTTACCTCGGCAAGCAAGAACTCTCCGGGGCCCTTCTCGGGTAAAGCAGCATCAAGGTTACCACTCGTGACCGCAGCACAGCCTCTGGTGGTGCGCGACAAATCCCGGGAAAGAAATGTCTCAGGTGACAAGAGAAGCCAAGATGCCCTCCACTGACGATGAAACCGACTGTTCCTCCCGTGCTTCCTCCCAGAAAATTCCTGCCGAGGAGGAGGAGCATATCCTGCAATGCAATTCCCGAGAATTATTGACAGGACGAGAGAAAGCTCTCCTCCTCCATTGCTAGATCCTCAGTGCTGGCGACTTGCGAGAATTTAAAATCGCCAGGACTGCCCGACCATTGCAATTGAGTTGGAAAACGAAATGCAATCACTCCGACAAGGAATCGACTCTTCCGCTACCTGGGGCAATGGCGCTGCCACTGCAAATCTCTGGGAATGTGGCCGCGGTGGAGGCGCCGAATCGCCCGAGGCCGACGCACGCAATCGCCATTGCGAGCGCCTCGATTTTCGCTCGCGTCGCGCGACCTTCAAAACCCTAGAGACCACATAAATCTTTTAACGGTCGGGATGAGGTGAGAGAGCTTAAAAGATCTCTGTCAATCTTTCTCGTTCTCGCGAAGAACCCTAAAACACCGGGGGAGGGAGACCGATGGTACGCTGGTGACCAAAGCCAATTTTTTCTCCACACCCAGGACGAGAAGTGGTTGAGTGCGCGGGAGTCAGTGCGTAGGACGCGAAGCGACAATCGCAGACCTGAAATTCTTCTCTTTTCTTTGTTACAACACAAAATGTACACGAATTTTCCGCGCCAGGAACAGAGCATTCACTGGGCGCTGGCTAGTGATGGTGATCGCGACGAAAATCATCAGGTGGCACCTCGATCACAACCTCTTCTAGCTGAATCGTCCTGCTCGGCTCGGGAGTTGGGATTGGCATTGTCGCTGTTTGCAACTGGACCGAGTAGCAAGCAACAGCCTCGCTAAAGCTGAGGTCACGCGTGGTGGGCGGCGGCGGCGGCGGTAGAGGAGATGGAGGAGGAGGAGGAGCTTGAGGATTGCTGGCCGTGCTTCTTCCGCAATTCTTGCAGCACTGCGTCTCCAGCCCGATCAAGCTCCGGCGGCAGACCGGGCAGGAGCTGTGCGCGACGAGCCACAGCGCGATACATTCCGAGTGGAAGCAATGCCCGCAGCTGGGCATCATCCGGATGAAATCGTCCTGCTTGCCAAACTCCGCCAGGCAGATGGAGCAGCAGCCCAGCTCGGGGTTCATCGTCCTCTGCGAGGCCAGCATCCGCGCCGCGCCATAGCTCATCACCGGCAGAGCTTTCTCAATCGCTTGCTTGCTCATCCCCGCCTTGGCCGCTGGCAGCGCTGATCTATCGCTCGCGCCATCGCCCGCGCCGCCGCTGCGTGCCCGGATCACGTCCTCGGGGCTGCATCCACACATCCACACGCAGAAGGCCATGGCGCCCATTATCGTCGCCACGATCAGCAGCGCCGAGAGGATCATCGCGAAGCTGGAGGATCCCGCGGCGGCGGCGGCGATCGCGATCGTGGGCGCCGGGGATGGATGGGCTCCAGCAAGCTCTCTGTCCATTTCCCTTCCCTTCTCTCTTTCACTTCCCTCGCTCGAGCAAACCCCCGGTTAAATGGTTTCGAGGGCGGGCATATTCGGCGACTGGAAAATACCCCATACACTGGTTCTTACAAAGATTCTTTATGCTCGCAGGTAAAAAACGAGGTGGCGGCGGGGTTAAATTTTCTGAAAAGTAGATTCCCTATCCAGCTCATGTTTGCTACGTGTTGAGAGATATTCAAAGCTGGCCATGGTCCACAGCGCCATTGAAGTTTCAAGTCTCCTTTTCGCCTGGAATTCTGGAAGAAAGAAAATTCCTCATTTTTTCTCTTTTTCTGTGGCTATTTGCGAATGTAGATTCTTGTCGGCGAGGGGTTCGTTTATTTCGGTCGCATGGCATGGCAATCTCTTTCAGTGGCTCCAGAAACCCGGCTAGTGGTGGTATAGACTATAGAGAATTTAAAAAAAAGATTTCCCGCCACCTCAAAAAACAATCCCTGTCGTTGACAAGAACGTGTTCTTCTCCAGTGTCGAGTGCGATCTAAAACCCAATTTCATATAGAAACGTTTTCTTCGACTATCACCTCCCAATTCGTGGGTGCTCGCTCCAATTTGGGCGACGAACGAAAGCCCCAGCAAGGGGGGCGGTCGAGTAGTGTGTGTTCTTTCCAATTCTACTAGAGAGTGTGGGGTCCGGGACCTTTGGACCGAATCCAGTGGTGGCCAACACCCACGCGTGGCTTCGAAGCTGCCCACTGATTTCCACAATTCTGGGCGACTCGCTGTCGGATCCAATGACCCGATCGATCAGTGCTCTCTTCTAGAGGAAGGGATGTCGGCGGAGGTGAAAAGGAGCGGTGGCTGGCGCTCCAAGCACTGGGGAATAGCAGGCGCCCCTTTGTTCCTTCTATCACGTTTTTCATGCGAGAGATCGGACAAGCCAGCTCCAAGGTTTCGAATCAAAACTGGGAAGAAAACGAGAATTTTGATCCACTATCACTCGGTACATGTTCCTCTCAAAGTCACCACGAATTTGGTTTTGTGGTCGAGGGGTTTACGACTTGATTCCTCGCATGGCACTCACCGCACGCCCTGTGCCTGAATAGTAGATTTCAAGAACACTTGGCATGAGTCTCTCTGTTCAGACTGTAGAGAAAATAGAGAGAACTTTACTTACATCTTCTTGCAGCTCAATAGGACCAAAGCCCATACCAAGGCAATACAGACAACCAGAATGGCGATCAATAGAACCCCAATCACCGCCACCCTGAAATTGCGATGGCTGGCCACAGAGGGCAAAGCGCCTGGAGATTGAGATTCGAGGAGGAACATAGCTACTAAATCAACCATGCAAAACATCCTCTCCTGTTTTTCATACAAATAATAGCTTAGAACATGCCTACATTTTTTCAGGAAAGTGCTGTGGTAAAGCTAAGTCAAGAATTTTATCATTCAAATCATACCAATCTCAATAGTTACTCATACACAGTAACTAATGTGGCTGTAGTTTAGTGGTTAGAATTCCACGTTGTGGCCGTGGAGACCTGGGCTCGAATCCCAGCAGCCACAGGCTTTTCTCCTCAGTTCAAACTTTTCAAACTTTAGGGTTTATCTTCTTTCATCTTAGTCTTTGATCGTCACCCGGCACACCGGGCACGACGTGTGGGCCGCGAGCCACTTTTGGATGCACTCCGAGTGGAAGGAATGGTTGCAGCCGGGGATGAGCCAGATGGTGCCGCTGTGATCCGACGCCTGGAACTCGGTCAAGCACACCGGGCAGCACACGTCGCTGGCGCCGCGAATCTGGAAGAGCGTCGCGAAGCTCACCTTGGGGATCCTGTCGATCGCCTTGCTGCTCAGCCCCTGCGACGCGATTGCTCGCGGCTGATGATGATCGCCCAGCTGCTGCTGCTCCTGGTCGATCGATCCACTGCCGCCCCTGTTGCCCCACATCCACACGCAGAACGCCACCACACACATGCTCACCACCGCCGCGAAGAGCGATCCCACGACGATGGCGATGCCGCCCTTGGCGCCGATTTGATTGAGGGCGGCGCGTGTGCTGTGCTGCGATCGATGGTGATGGCCATTCGCTGGAGCCTGTGCCGATTGCGTTGATTCCATGGCTCCCAGCTTGCCACCAGTGGAGCAATCCCGCGAGGAGGGAAGAATTCGCTCCTCTTCCCTCAGCCAAGTTGCAGTTTTGACTTTGAAACAAGCGAATTTGTGGAGCAATTTTTTAATCTCTGGAGGAGATCGTGTTCCCATTCATCTCCCGCACGTCAGTGGCAGTAGACATTGTCACAACCCAAACAGAGTCCCCTGTTTTTAGGGTTCTTGGGAAGCGGGCACTCTGTTTTTAGGGCTCGGCGGACGCGAGACGAAGCTCTTCCCGGCAAACTGGGCACGAGGTGTGCGAATCCAGCCACAAGTCGATGCATCCCGGGTGGAAGTAGTGGCAGCACACGGGCATTTTCTTGACGAGCTCCTCGCGGAAGGGAGCGAGGCAGATGGGGCAGCAGTCGGCGGCGGCGGCGGTGGCCGGGCTCTTGATCTCGAGGGCGGAGTAATTGAGCGTGGGGATTCGGATGCGGCGCGCGGCGGCGATGGCGGCGTCGCCCTCCGCGGCGATTGCGTCGTCGATCTCTTGCTGGCCGAGGAGGCGGAAGCAGAGCCACAGGCAGCCCAGCACCGAGGCCGCGAAGACGAAGCACGCAAAGACGAGGAGCCACAGACCTTTGGTCGCAAGATGGGCAGCGGAGCTGCGACCATCCATTAATTTATCCTCTGGATGATGATGACTGATGGCTCGCTTTGCTTGCTGCTTAGCTCGAGAGGAGTAAAAGAAAGAAGATTGGCAGCCCAAAGAATTAAGAGGATGGATATAATCAAAGCAAGGAAGTCTCTTATCCGCCAAGAGCTTTTGGAGCGTAGCGCGGGGCTCAATCGCTGTGAAACGCCTGTTTGAAATTTGCCCAAGTCAAGAAAACGCTGTAGCTCTCTCGCTTAAACGCTTCTTTCAATCGCATTTACTTTTGGAAAGAAAGAACTAAAAGTCGTTCTCAAGGAGCGATGCCACTGGAAACGCAGCTCGTTGGGCTTGACCCATCGATGCTTCAACTGTGGATGTGATACCCTCCCTGGGCATTTGCTGTTTCTGGAGGTTGTCTCTATCACTTTAGTCAAAGACCAATTTAGTGGTTTATAGTTTCATATAGATTTGGTGCACTTATGCAAACAGTCAAAGTGTGGCATTCATTTGCTGCAAATATGGGGGCCAGTTTTATATAAAATGTCTATAAAGTTCCATCACCATGTTTTAAGTGGACCTTCTTGCCATTCGGGAAGCAAGGAAAAGAATGCAGCAGACACGGCTGTAAGATTGTGCTGGTATTTAAAAATGCCTGTTTTGTGTAAATGCTTGAATCGACAGCAAGATGTAGTCATAGAGAACAAAGAGAGATATGTGTGTGTTGAGATGGCGAGCTCAAGCTCAAGGACAAACTCCATCTCTGATCCCAAGGAGTTGCAACATTGCACTCTGGGCGTTAACATTCTCATGAAGCAGCCGGGGTGAATAGCATGCTAGTGGTGTTGATCGCGAAACAAAATCATCTGGTGACAATTCACTTGATTGGAGTGGAAGCGTTTGCCACCAGCACATACGATGCAGCACTCTCCGGCTCCAGATCAAACGCTCTTCGCATTTCTCTCAAGCTTTCTTTGCGAGGGCTGCTCCTGGCGGCCCCCAGAAGGCACGTCCACTCCAGGAAATCGGGAACAAAAGGCATGTCGTGGATGAGCTCCTTGGAGTCGTCCAAATAGCCACCCCGGGCGAGCAAATCCACCATGCAGCAGTAGTGCTGCTTGGTAGCCTCAAGCTCGAAATCAAAGGCCATGGACACGAACCACGCCCTCCCGGCATGGACCTTGCCGTCATGGCTGCAAGCCAAGATCGCCGAAACGAAGCACACCTCGTCCGGCTCCTCGCACAGCTTCATCGCATCAAACAGCTGAATCGCGTCTTTGGTACGCCCCCTCTGTGCGTATGCCGTGAGGAGAGTGCTCCATGACACGAGATTCGTCGTCGGAAATTGGTCAAAGAGCTTTCTCGCAGCATCCAAATCCCCGTGCTGCGTGATTGCCCACAACACTGCGTTCCAAGAGACGAGATCGCGCTCGGGCATTCCGTGGAAGAGGATAAGCGCGTCATGGAGGCGGCCGTACTGGGTATAGCCACAAAGCATTACTGTCCACGACACGCAGTCGGGAGCAGGCATGTTTTCCAGCAAACGTTCAGCATCATCCAGATACCCACTTTGGGCATATGAGGCAAGAAGTGTGTTCCAAGATGCCAAGCTCAACGCTGGAATAGCGTCAAAGATGCATTTTGCATCTTCAATGCATCTAAAAGACGTGTACACTGCCAACATAACATTGTGTGATACTGTATCGTGTTCAGGCATTTGTAAGTAGGTCCGTTCACATCGGGAAAGGTAACCATGTTCGGCATATGCCGTCAAAAGAGCGTTCCAGGAGACTACATCCGTCTGTTGCATTTGATCAAATGCTCTCTCTGCATCCTTAACATTGCTAGATGATACCACAGTTGTCAGTGACACCATATCCCACTCCGGCATGAAATCAAGCAAAATATCGCTGATTCCATGATGCCTGCTCTGGGCATAAGCCGTAAAGATGGTTGTAAACGATACGATATCCCATAAAGGCATGGAATCAAACAGCTCTTTAGCCTTTATAGTGTGGCCATTGATAGCGTAAGCAGACATAAAGGCATTTAACGATATAAGGTCGTAGCTTTGCATCCCATCAAAGAGGTTCTTTGCGCCCTCCAAATGCCCACTCTGGGCATACAGGCACAGCATAACGTTCCAGGAGACGAGGTTCCACCCGGGCATCGCATCGAACAAGGCCTTGGCCTCTGGCAACCGGGAGCTGCGTGAGTAGGCAATAAGCATGAAATCCCAGGAAAAGGAATCCTTGGGCTCGATGGCATCGAAGACGAGCCGTGCTTGGTAGGCGGCGCCGCAGTTGCCAAACATCTGGATGACATGGTTGAGGAGGAATGTATCCTCAGGGCGGGCGATCGATCGAGCGCGGGCGTGGAGCGCCTCGGCTGCCCGTAGACCCCTGCACGACTGCAAACGAAGCAAAAGCTCGTCCCGGCTCATCCATTGCCTGCTCGTCATTCATTGCCTCTTTTGGTTGCTACTTGGTAAAAAAACTCTCAATTCTCTAATAGAATGGTTCTTAATTAGATCTTACCTGCGAGAGATCCACACCGACATTGAAGTTCTTGTGGTGAGATCACATACATCCTGGATGGAATACAGGTTTGTAGTGGCCCAGCTCCCTCAAAATCATCGTCTTCCTCGTCAGTCCATTCTTCTTGGTAGAACTGCGCTTGCCTTGGATATGGAGCGTGCTCACGGGGCTGTGCCATTAGAATGCTCCTGGCTTCTTCGTCCAGTTTCGCGCTCCTGGCCAAGTGGAGGCGATTGCACAGGTAGAAGAGCACTGTGAGTGCCGGGACGCCCAGAGCGATCGCGAGCAAGGGATTCATTGCGAAAGAGATCGATGGATCCAAATGAAAGATTGCAGCGTACTAGCAAGAGACTCATCGCAAAGGAGACGGATACAAACACGCGTCTTACTGAAATGAGAGCTCAGCCGTACGTTATCAGATAAACATTCCAGTTTGTTCCTTGAACCTAGACTAATTTGACCCCTGATAGTTCAGATTACACAAGCAAAAGTCGTTGTAGTATAGTGGTGAGTATTTCCGCCTGTCACGCGGACGACCCGGGTTCGATCCCCGGCAACGGCGTAAAATTTTATTCGCTCTTTCCATCGAAAGAATCTATTTCATTCGCTCTTTTACTACATTTTCAGAGGTTGAAGAGCAGCACGTACGATGCGGAGTCTTGCGGTTTGATCCTCATGACATGCTGCGCTGTGTGACGCCCAAGCACAAATCAGTGTCGTTTCTTGAAGCTGACAAGAGTGTCATCCACGCCACCTCCTCGGGCATGAACGGCATCGAGTGAATGAGCTCCTCGGCATCACGCAGCCTCCCCGCCCTCGCCAGCGCTGCGATGAGACAGCAGTACGTCCACGAAATTGTCCGCCACCATTGCCATGGACCTCTCTCGGACCTCGTCCACGATGCCCGTGTAGGCCACCGACGAGAGCAGGCACACGAACGTCAGCTCGTCCGGCTTGATCCCGTCGAGCAGCATCGATGCGAAGAGAAGCTGGACGGCAGCGTGGTGCCCCGCGTGGGCATTTGCTGTTGTGAGCGCATCCAAGAGACAGTATCTCTTTCCTGCATTCATTCGAAGAGGCATTTCGCCTCCGCCAACCTTTCGTGCTGTGCGTATGAACCTGTAAGGATGTTACAGGCGGAGACAGTGCTTTCGGGCATGCAATCAAGCAGCTCTTTCGCGCTTCCCAGATCCCCGTTTTAGGCATTTGCTGCAACAATTGCAGCCCAAAAGACAAGATTTACCTGTGGATTTCGCTCAAAAAACCCCTGTAGCAAACTGAAATTGGCCCTCCTGCGAGAACACGGCCAGAAAAACATTCCACACAATCACATCGCTCCGTGCCATGTGAGTGAAGATGTCCTTGGCATGCTCCAAATGCCCGCTTTGGGCAAATGCTTGAATCATCAACGTCCACTGTGAGACCCCGTACAGATCCTTGGCGCGATTCCATCGGCCACAAACTCCTGAAGCAGCGTGTCCCAGGAGTTCCGGCACTGGTGGTCCATCCGATCGAAGAGCTCCTTGGCCTGATCCGCCTGGGTCATCGCGTTCCAGGCCGCTCATCCCTCTAGCGCATCGAGGCAAAAACCTCTTTCGCTTGCATCTTGACATACGATCAACATAACTTTTGCGTCAGTTTTTCCAGCAGTGGATGCCCCTGTGTGGCATATGCTTGAAGCAGGCAAGTCCAGGATACTGGATCTCGCCGTGGCAAATCCTCAAAAATAGACCTTGCTTCTCCTATGTGGCCAAGCTCTGTATAGACACGGATCATCACAGTGGCTGCGATTTGGGTCTTTTCGGGCATGGCGTGGAAGAGGCGCATGGCCTCGAAGAAATCCCCATTCGCGGCACACGCCGAGATGATGATATTCCAGGAGAAGAGATTGGGCGAGGGCAGGGAGTGAAAAACCGCTCGCGCATCGCCCAGGCTACCGGATTGGCGAGAAAGGTGTTGGTGGCGAGATGGGAGTGGAGGATCTGGGCGTGGACGACGAGATCGCGAGAGACGGTGTAGGATTTGATGAGCCGGACATAGGCGGCCGCGTTCATCGATCATAAGTAGCCATGGAACTTCACAAGATATAAAGTATATAAGAAGGTTGACCTTCCCAGTCATCCTTCTCGTTACACGGTGCAAAGACCAAACGAAAGGAAAAGGAGAAAAGACTATTTTTGTGGCGGTCATTCACAAAAGCTGGCATGAACAATCCCCCTGTGCTTCGTGAGCATCTTATTAAGCAAGGCTGACCATACTAATTACGTGCAAAAAGAAGCTAATTAATTCCAAATGCTAACTCGTCCCACCATCCAGATCTTGCCTCTTGGCTATCTGCATTGACAACTCTTTGTTGAGCATGCTTTGCTCAGCGGCCTTCCACACAAGTTTGGATTCCCAATATAGCTCGAGTTGACGAATGTGTTGAACTGAAGGAGTTGGATGACAAGTCCAGCAGAGTAGTCGTCCTCAAAACATATTTATAGCCCATATCCTCTCGTCCTTTGATTTGCAGGAACAACTCTTGGTAAAGGCGATCCCCATCCCCATCATTCTCAGACTTTGAAACCCTCGAGATGGCTTAATGAATTGACAGGAAGCTCTCCATGGAAGTGTTTGTCGGAAACATCCAACACTTGCAACTGTTTCATGCTCCAAGTGAAATCTGGCAAGACTCCTTCATTGAGATCAATCAACTCCAAGCTAGTGTTGCCAGAGGGAAGCAAAGTAAATCTGCCTCCAAGATGTGAGTGAGAGAATCTTCAATGATGGAAGCTTATTCACGTCAATGCTGGTGCCTTCGAGAAAGTTATTCCCGCTCCAGCTTTGTGCAGTTCTCAAGCAGTACACGTGGAATATGTCCAACCAGCTTGTTCCTTTCCATTCCAAGGGTTTGAAGGTTGTGCTTGCACAACGTTTCAAATGCCTCCCATGGAATTTCTCCCGTCAAGTTGTTCTTTGACAATTCGAGAAGCTGCAAAGAAGTGCAATTTCCCAGTTCAACCAGCATTTCCCCCTCGAGACACTTGGCTGAAATATCCAGTTTTGAGTTTAGACATAGTCCCTTGTAGTGATTATGCTTAGAGAGCATTTTATTAAGTAAGGTGACTATATTAATTATGTGAGGATTGGCAGAAAAAGCAAAAAGAGTTGCATTATGTGCTATGAATGCCACTATCAATTAAATTTCTACTTTGTTTTTCTTCCACTATTTCTTCTATTGATATTTCTTCCCTTTTTATATTCACAAGAATGACAATGACTCATATTTGATTTAAAGAGCTATGTAGGTCAAATCTAAATGATTTGTTGTGTGTTGTTGGCATTTAATTATATTAGTGAGGATCTACTTAAGGTCAAGCATGAAAAGTTTCTAGAACTTGGCACATATGGTGGGGATGCAATAAAGACTTGTAGAGTGATGAAGAATCTTGCATCAGGTAAAAAATTGTATAGTTTTTACTTTTAGTAAAAATCATATGGATTGTACTGACTTTTAGATTAACAATATAAAGAGTGAACTTTTGCTCAACTCAAATGCAAATCAAAAACTGTGGAAGTGTTTTAGATGAGGAATCTCCCTTCAATAAATGGTGGTTTTTTACTCAAGCATCACTGAAGTGTCATATGATACAAAATACTAATGGTAAGAAAATGCATAAGAAAGGATTCTATGCACCACTAAAGGGAAATAACTTGTAACATGAGCTTTTGCAAGTGTTTTTGAATTACAATGATGCATATTTTAACTATATCTAGTTACTCATTGAATGCTTATATGGTCAAAAAATTGAGTGACTATAGCTACCATATTACTAAGCAAAAACTTAGTTTATAATAATGTTTTAAAAAAGTTAAGTAGATGGTGAAGGGTTTGGGCAAGTATGAGCACTTGCTAAATGAAACTATAATACAATTTTACATATTCCAGGATTTAAGAATCTAATGCAAATGGATAAAAAACAACATGAAAAACATTTTTATAAAACATATTTGTTAAAATCAAAGTCATTGAATGGTTTGGACATGTCATTCATTAGCAAGGTGGTTAAGATTTCACAAATTTTCTCAATTGCTAAAAACTAAAGTATAAACTTTCTAAATTAAAACTATATAATCTTTGTAATTGCTTTCAAGTATAGAAGGATATTTATTGGTTAAAATCTTATATTAAAACTGTAAATTATAACAACAAATTTAATAAGAGTTACAATGGCTAGAGTGAGTACACTATCATATCACTCTTGAGATACTTTAATATTTTTATGAACTTGCTATATATAAAAAAACTATGAATATAAAAAAACAATTGGAGGAGAAAATGGAATTACACGCCAAAGAATTTAATGAATATATGAAACTAAGTGCAAATGACAAAGGAAAAATGATATATTACTTTTAAGTTTTATATATTTTCTAAACTAATAAAATTTTGCAAAAAATGAGTAACTTTAATTTGTGATTAATAAATAATTACACTTTAATGAGGTCATTATTTTGTTGGAGAAACCACCTGTAACTTCAATAAAATTTGTGATAAATATTTATATACTTTTCAATATGGTTTTAAAAGACATTAATACAATTACAATGTTACATATTGAAATTCATATTGTAGTTCTGGCAAAGAAACTAACTATAGCTTTAGTAGTTCCAGAGGTAAATATTTATATCATTTTTAACACAATTAAAATTAAAGGTCTATATATTGTATAAATTGCTATAAAAGGTATTGAAACCACCACAGAAGAAACCTATATAGTCATTATATGATATATATGCATTCACAAATGTTGTATAAATCTAGATAATAGAATGAGAATGTGGAAATTGTATTTGGAGTTGGCTACTCCATTAGCTTCTTTAAGGCATAGAATCAAACAGCTGTTTAGCCTTTTTTGTGTGGCCATTGATAGCATAAGCAAACATCAAGGCATTTAAGGATACAAGGTTGTAGCTTTGCATCTCATCAAAGAGGTTCTTTGCGCCCTCCAAATGCCCAGTTTGGGCATACAGGCACACCATAGCGTTCCAGGCAACGAGATTCCACCTAACAAGGCCTTGGCCTCTCACAACTAGGAGCTGCGTGCCTAGGCAATGAGCATGAAATCCCAGGAGAAGGAATCCTTGGGCTCGATGGCATCAAAGACGAGCTGTGCATGGTAGTTGTCACCGCAGTTGCCATAGATCTGGATGACATGGTTGAGAAGGAATGTATCATCAGGGCGGGTGATCGATTGAGCGCGGGCGTGGAGCGCCTTGGCTGCCCGTAGATCCCTGCACGACTGCAAACGAAGCAAAAGCTCATGCTCATCCATTGCCTGCTTGTCATTCATTGCCTCTTTTGGTGCTGTGAGTGCCAGGAGCAAGGGATTCATTGCAAAAGAGATCAAGGGATCCAAATGAAAGATTGCAGCGCACTAGCAAGAGGCTCATCACAAAGGAGACGGACTACAAACACGTTATCAGATATACATTCTAGATTAGTTTTAACCCTGATAATCAAGATTACAGTATAGTGGTGAGTATTTCCGCCTGTCACGCAGACGACCCGGGTTAGTCCCCGGAAACAGCATAAAATTGAAGAAACATGCAGAGGTTGAACGATGCAGAGTCTTGCGGTTTGATCCTCTCATGACATCCTGCGCTGTGTGACGCCCACGCACCAAATCAGTGTCGTTTCCTGACGCTGACAAGAGTGCCACCTCCTTGGGCATGAATGGCATCGAGTGAATGAGCTCCTCCGCATCGCGCAGCCTCCCCGCCCTCAGGCAGCAGTAGTGCTGCAACGTCGTCCGCCACCATTGCCATGAATCTCTCTCGGACATAACATAACTTTTGCGTTTCGGTGCCCATCGCTGCCGTGGATGACACCACATCCCACTCGGGCATCTTGTCAAAAAAAAGTTTTGACAAGTGGACGCCCCTGTGTGGCATATGCTTGAGCAGGCGAGTCCAGGATACTGGATCTCGCCGTGGCAAATTCTCAAAAATAGACCTTGCTTCGTCTATGTGGCCAAGCTCTGTATAGACATGGATCATCATAGTGGCTGCGATTTGGATCTTTTCGGGCATGGCGTGGAAGAGGCGCATGGCCTCGAAGAAATCCCCATTCGCGGCACACACCGAGATGACGATATTCTAGGAGAAGAGATTGGGCGAGGGCAGGGAGTGAAAAAACCGCTCGCGCCTACCACATTTGCCATGATGAGATTGGCGAGAAAGGTGTTGGTGGCGAGATGCGAGTGGAGGATCTGGGCGTGGACGCACTTGCCCTGGATGAGATCGTAGGATTTGATGAGCCGGGCATAGGTGGCCGTCACAAGGAGCCATGAAAAACTTGGAACTTCACAAGAAATAAGAAGGAAAGCGGATCCAAAATATGAGGAGTACTTCGAAAGGTGTTTGTCGTGATGCAAGGCCGCGGTCTGACGGTTGACCTTCCAAGTCATCCTCCTCGTTGTCGTAGTCTATACGGTCGTAAGACCAAAATAGCTCAGCCATCACTTTTACGGACGAAAGGAAAAAGAGGGAAGACTATTTTCGTGGCGGATGCCTTACTTCATACGGCCATGCTCAAGGGGTCTTGCGATTAATAGGGATTGAGAGCTCGGACACAGTCCCCAGTAGTCTTCTTGAGCATCTTATTAAGCAAGGATGACCATACTAATTACATGCAAAAAGAAGCTAATGGAGCAGCCAACTCCAAATGAGATTGGATCCACATTCTCGTCCCACCATCCAGATCTTGCCTCTTGGCGATCCACATCATTGACAACTCTTTGTTGAGAGCATGCTTTGCTCAGTGGCCTTCCACACAAGTTTGGATTCCCAGCATAGCTTGAGTTGACGAATGTGTCGAACTGACCACCCGTAGGAATGCGTCCGCTAAGTGTGTTAGATGACAGGTTAAGAGATGACAAAGTGTTCAGCTCTTCAAGCTCCACTGGAATCTCTCCATACAAGTGATTGTCTGACATGTCCAGTTGCTCCAGCAATTTGAGCTTGCCAAGTGTTCTGGGAAGCCTACTCGAGATGTTGTTGTGTGACAAGTTGAGAAATCGAAGGCCGCTTAAATCCCCAAGGTTTGGTGGAACCTCTCCACTCAAGGAGTTGGATGACAAGTCCAGCAGAGTAGTCGTCTTCAAAACATATTCATAGCCTATATCCTCTCGTCCTTTGATTTGCAGGAACAACTCTTGGTAAAGGCGATCCCCATCCCCATCATTCCCAGTGGGGAATAATGGCTTGAAACCCTCGAGATTGCTTAATGAATTGATAGGAAGCTCTCCATGGAAGTGATTGCCTGAAACATCCAACACTTGCAACTGTTTCATGCTCCAAATGAAATCTGGCAGGACGCCTTCAAAATGGTTGCCTCCCAAGCTTAAAACTCGCAACTGGTGGAGGTTAGCAAGAGAGGCAGGAAGCTCACCAGAGAAGTTGTTTCTCTTGAGATCAATCAACTCCAAGCTAGTGTTGCCAGAGGGAAGCAAAGGAAATCTGCCTTCGAGATGATTCATTGCGAGTGAGAGGATCTTCAATGCTGGAAGCTTACTCACGTCAATGCTGGTGCCTTTGAGAGAGTTATTCCCGAGCTTCAGCCGCTCCAGCTTTGTGCAGTTCTCAAGCAGCACACGTGGAATATGTCCAACCAGCTTGTTCCTTTCCATTCCAAGGGTTTGAAGGTTGTGCTTGCACAACGTTTCAAATGCCTCCCATGGAATTTCTCCCGTCAAGTTGTTCTTTGACAATTCGAGAAGCTGCAAAGAAGTGCAATTTCCCAGTTCAACCGGGATTTCCCCCTTGAGAAAATTGGCTGAAATATCCAGTCTTTGGAGGCCCTTCATGTCCCCCAAGCTTTGTGGAATCCTTCCCACGAAGCTGTTATTGAATAGATATAAAAGTTGTAAGCTTTTGAGTTGTCCTAGTGACGAAGGTATCTCTCCAGTAAGATTATTGTTCTCCAACTGTAAAGCCTCAAGGTTGGAGAGTTGCACTAGAGATGAAGGGATCTCTCCGCTCAATCCGTTGCTTCCCAGTTTAAGCTGCTTCAAGTACTGTAGTTTTCCCAGCGAATGTGGGATGTGGCCACTTAACATGTTACCATCAAGAAAAAGATACTCCAAGCTCTCACATCTGCCTATCTCCTCCGGTATGACTCCCTTGATATGAGTGTTTGCCCCCAAATTCAAATAAGTGAGATTAATCATGTCACCAATTTGTGAAGAAAGTGTCCCTTCACACCCAATGTTAGCCATGCTAAGATATTGAAGCTGACTCATATTCCACAATTCTTGAGGCAATTGCAAGTGTGTAAGATTGAGATGATTGAGTCCCAATGTTGTCAGTGATGGTATTTGAAGAAGTGACAAGGGAATTGGACCATTTATATGTGGTTCTGTGGAGAAGTCTCCATTGATGTCAAACCATTGGAGTTTGGTGCAGTTGCCAAGCTCAGGAGGTATTTGCCCACTAACGCTTGTAACGTCAAACATAGAGAAATATTCAAGGTTCTTCAACTGGCCTAAGGATGCTGGTATTTTGCCATGAAGAAGGGGGTTTTGACCAATACGTATTTCTACCAGTGATGAGCAGTTGCCAAGAGACTCTGGTATAGTGCTGTTCAGCAAGTTGTAATCTAGGCCAAGTAATTTGAGCCTTTTCAGCATTCCCAGCTCAGCTGGAATTTCTCCAGTGATATTATTCATGCCAAGGGCAAGAAACTGCAATTGTTCTAGTGAACCAAGCTCCTTTGGGAGTGGGCCATTCAAGAAATTGTAGGAGAGGCTGAGAACTTGAAGGTCTTTCAAGCATCCAAACTCTTTTGGAATGTTCCCAGTCAATAAATTGTAGGAGAGGATGAGAAATTGAAGGTCTTTCAAGCATCCAAACTCTTTTGGAATGTTCCCACTGAGAAAATTATGTGTTAGTTTCATGTACTTGAGCTTCAAGAGCTTTCCCATTTCAATTGGAATGTTGCCGGATAAATTGTTGCTTTGGAGATTCAAAGATGTCAAGTTGTGTAACTTACCAATGAGGGCAGGAATTTCTCCTTGAATAGCATTAGTAGAGAGGTCGATGGTAGTGAGATGAGTAAGCCCAGAGAAGAGGGAGCTGAGGTTTCCCCCAAGCATCCAACCAGAGAAATTGAGCTCTTGAACATGACTAGTGATGTTGTTACAGGAAACTCCTGCCCAAGAGAAGCATAGTTCTTGAGAGTTGCGCTGACTCCAATTTGACAGAAATATGTTGCTGCTGCTGTGATTTGTAACACTTTCTTTGAATGCCAAAAGTGCATTCAGCTCCTCTGCATCCCATGCTCTTGTGCAGCAAAGAATGCTCAGCAATAGCAGAAAACATTGAGATAAATTTGCAGCCATCTCACCCAAAAATTAGAATTGCAGATCCATGACATATATTATAGTGATGCAGGGGTGACAATTTCAAAGTATCCTCCCACTAGTATTCAAAGTGTTGTTCCATGTCTTTTCTAGCGTGGATCAAAGATCTTTTCTGGTCAAAGACTGAAAATGTGCAATAAACTTTCCATTAGATGTACAAATTCCTTGAAATTCAACTAAAACTTCTAGTAGATAAAAAGTCTTCTTCTTGTAGTCTACACGGTTGTTAGACTTTATTTGAAAAGTGGAAAGGGAAAAAGTGGTGGATGTGATGGCTGAGCTATTTTGCTATGTGTTGCAATTGACAACACATACCAAAATAGCTCAGCCATCACATCCACCTTTTTTTCCCTTTTCTCTCCTGAACAAAAGGCAAATGAGAAAATACGTGTGAGTGTATTTTCGTGGCAAGAGAGAATACGCGTGAGTGTATTTTCGTGGCAAGAATGGTCTTTTATAAAACCTGGCATTCATGCCTTGCTTCATACGCACATATTATAGTGGCCATGCTCAAGTGGTCTTGTGATTAATAGGGATTGAGAGTTTAGACATAGTCCCTAGTAGTGACTGCTTAGTGAGCATTTTATTAAACAAGGCTGACCATATTAATTATGTGAGGATTGGTAGCATTAGCAATAAGAGTTGCACTATAAGCCATAAATCAACTAAGTTTTTACTTTGCTTTCCTTCCACTGTTTCTTCTATTGCTGTTTTCTTCCCTTTTTAGGTTCACAAGAATGACTATGACTCATGCTTGATTCAAGGAGCTATATGGGTCAAACTAAATGATTTGTTGTGTGCAATTGCCATTTAGTTATATTACTGAGGATCTACTTAAGGTCAAGTATGAAAAGTTTCTAGAGCTTGGCACATATGATGGGGATGCAATAAAGATTTGAAGAGTAATGAAAAATCTTGCATCAGGTAAAAAATTGTATAATTTTTACATTTAGTAAAAACTATATAGTTTTTACTGACTCTTAGATTAACAATATAGAGAGTAAAATCTTACTTGACTCAAATGCAAACCAAAAAGTGTAGAAGTATTTTAGATGAGGAGTCTCCTTTTAATAACTTGGCCATTTTTTACCCAAACATCACTGGAGTGTCATGTGACATATGACACAAATGATAATAAAATGCATAAATGTCACATATGTAATTATAGGATAAGATTTGAATATATTGTATATACTTAGTATTAAATGACCAAAGCTATTATATTACTAAGTAGAAAATTGGTCTACAATAATGTGTGAAAAAAGTTAAGTAAATGGTGAAGGATTTGGGTAAGTATGAGTACTTGCTAGATGAAACTATGTGTAAGGAATCAACTCCTCGAGGTGTCATAAGTTAAAGGATCTACGAAACCACAATCGGAATGATGAAAAATTTATCGGATGAAACCAAGTCTAAAATTAAGTCCAAAACCGAGTTCAAGATAGAGTCCAAGACTAAGTGTAAAACCAAGTCTGAGATCTAAAACTAGGTCCAAAACTGAGTCCAAGATTGAGTTTAAGGTTAAGTTTAAGGTCGAGTCTGAGTCTGAATACTAATATATGTTATGGCGTGAAAGCGTAAAGCAATCGTCTGTTTGGGGGGGGGGGGGGGGGGGGTGTTGTAAAAGGTTCCAAAAGTGCAGTAGAAATAATAAAGTTTAAAAATCAGTCTTGAAGGAACTCTTTAGTGGTGCTTTTAAAATGACTTAAGGGTTAAAGGTCTTGGGTGGAAGTGAACATGGACTCAGGTGGTGTGAAAGAGGTTACCCAAGAAAGTGTTTAAGAACAACTCCCACTACCAAAAGGGAACTTGACTATAATGCTCTTAAATTATATAGAATGATGCCCCACTTGAGTACTATATAACTTATTAGTTTTTTTTCCTTCTTAGGGGCATGGGCCTTCCCTTTAGGATGGAGGGGAGAATATTTATTGGCTAAAGTTTTATATTAAGACTATGAAGTATAATAACAAATCTAATTAAGGTTACAATGGCAAGATGAGTATACCACCACACTTGAGATACTTCAATATTTTAAGGAACTTACGATATATATAATACATGTGAATTTGCAAAAAATTATGAAGATTATACACAAAAAAAACTATATCAAAGGAGGTGGTGGAATTACGTGCAAAAAAATTTAATGAATATATGAAGCTAAGTGCAAATGACAAAGGAAGAATGAAATATTACTTTTAAATTCTATATATTTTCTAATCTAATAATTTTTTTTAAAATTAAATAATATTAATTTGCGATTGATAAGGAATTACACTTAAGAAGGTCATTCTCTTGCTAAAAAAACCACTTGCAATTTCAGTAAACTTTGTGATATATATTTATTTAACTTTCAATATAGTTTTAACATATGTGGTTTTTTTACAAGCTGTTACAAAATACACTAACATAATTACAATATTACATATTAAAATTTATATTGTAGTTGTGGCAAAGAAACTAGAGGTAAATATTTACATCATTTTCAATACAGTTATGGTTTATATATTGTATAAATTGTTACAAAAGGTATTGAATGCCATAATTGAAGAAACCTATAAGGTAGTCACTATATCTATATATTAGGATACATATGTGTTCATAAACTTTATAAAAACCTATAGTATAGATCTAGATAGTTGGATCCAATTGCATTTGGAGTTGGTTGCTCCATTAGCTCATGTGGCCATTGATAGCATAAGTAAACATCAAGGCATTTAACAATACAAAGTTGTAGCTTTGCATCCCATCAAAGAGGTTCTTTGCACCCTCCAAAAGCCCCATTCTGGGCATACAGGCACAACATAACGTTCCAGGCAACAAGATTCCACTTGGGCATCACATCAAACAAGGCCTTGGCCTCTCGCAACTGGGACTACATGCATAGGCAATGAGCATGAAATCCCAGGAGAAGGAATCCTTGGGCTCGATGGCATCGAAGACGAGCCGTGCATGGTAGGTGGTGCTGCAGTTGCCATAGATCTGGAGGACATGGTTGAGGAGGAATGTATCATTAGGGCAGGCGATCGATCGAGTGCGGGTGTGAAGTGCCTGGGCTGCCCATAGATCCCTGCATGACTGCAAACAAAGCAAAAGCTCGGCTCATCCATTGCCTGCTTGTCATTCATTGCCTCTTTTGGTGCTGTGAGTGCTGGGAGCAAGGGATTCATTGCTTAAGAGATCAAGGGATCCAAATGAAAGATTGCAGCGCACTAGCAAGAGGCTCATCGCAAGGAGACGGATACAAACAAAACATTCTAGATTAGTTTTAACCATGATAATCAAGATTACATAAGAAAAAGTCGTTGGAGTATACTCCGCCTGTCACGCAGACGACCCGGGTTCGATCCCCGGAAACGGGGTAAAATTATATGCTTGATTGAAGAAAGAATCTATTTCATTCGCTCTTTTACTACATTTTCAGAGCTTGCTAGACCATGACTGTAGAGGTTGAAGAGCAGCGGAGTCTTGCGGCAGCGTGACGCCCACACACCAAATCAGTGTCGTTTCTTAAAGCTGACAAGAGTGTCATCCCTCCTGCGAGAACACGGCGAGCAAAGCCGTCCACACAATCACATCCCTCCGTGGCATATGAGTGAAGATATCCTTGGCTTTCTCAAAATACCCGCCTCGGGCAAATGCTACGTCTACGATGAGACCCCGTGCTGGGACATCCGATCGTACAGATCCTGGTGCACTCCAGGGATCGATCGGCCCCTTGGCTTGATCCAGGCGCGCGTTGACGACATTGGCCTGGATCATCGCGTTCCAAGCCGCTCCATCCCTCTCGCGCATCGAGGCAAAAACCTCCTCCGCCTCGATCACGCGCTCCTGCGCCGCCAGCGCGTCCAGCATCGCCGTGCAGCACACCGCGTCCCTGTGCGGGATCCGGTCGAAGAGGTTCTTGACGCCGTCGACGATCCCATTCTCCGCGAACGCCACCATCATCGCGGTCCAGGAGAGGGGAGATCGCGCTGTGGGCTGCCGTGGAAGATCGAGCACGCGGAACACATCCACTCCGGCAGTAGCCCTCGGCCATGGTGTTCCAGGACGTGGTGTTTCGATCGCCCATCATTTCAAACACCACTCTCGCTCGATCCATCTGGCTGTGCTGCGCGTACGCCGCGATCATCCCGTTCCAGGACACGAGATCTCTCCTGGGCGATCGATCAAACGCCGCCTTGGCGCGCTCCAGGTCCCCGGATTGGGGGTGCGCCGTCATCACCGTGTTCCACGAGATGGAATCCGTGTGGGGCATTCGATCAAACGCCTGGTCCATGAGCTCCAGATCGGCGATTGCGAGCGCGGCGATCAATCCATTCGAGGAGACGATGTTGCATTCCATCGAAGAGCTGCCAAGCGCGCAGTGGATGCGCTGGGCATAAGTGCCCATCATCGTGTTCCAGGAGACAACGTTCTGCTCGGCCATGGAGTCGGCGACTCGGCTACGTAACCGGCCTCGCCATAGCCGGTGATCATCGAGTTCCAGGTGACGATGTTCCTCTCAGGCATTCGATCAAACGCTTCTCTTGCAAAATATAGCAAATGCCCAATAGAGGCATTTGCTGAAATAAGTGTCGTCCAAGTGACTACATTGCGTCTTGACATACGATCAAACATAACTTTAGCGTCACCCAAAGAGCCACAGTGTACGCAAGCGCCCATCGCTGCCGTAGATGACACCACGTCCCACTCGGGCATCTTGCCAAAAAGCAGTTTTGACAACAGTGGATGCCCCTTTGTGGCATATGCTTGAAGCAGGCAAGTCCAGGATACTGGATCTCGCCGTGGCAAATCCTCAAAAATAAACCTTGCTTCTTCTATGTGGGCAAGCTCTGTATAGACACGGATCATCACAGTGGCTGCGATTTGGGTCTTTTAGGGCATGGCCTCGAAGAAATCCCCCGAGATGACGATATTCCAGGAGAAGAGATTGGGCGAGGGCAGGGAGTGAAAAACCGCGCATCGCGCAGCCTACCACATTTGCCATACATCTCGACGATGAGATTGGCGAGAAAGGTGTTGGTGGCGAGATGGGAGTGGAGGATCTGGGCGTGGACGCACTTGCCCTGGACGAGATCGCGAGAGACGGTGTAGGATTTTATGAGCCGGGCATAGGTGGCCGCGTTCATCGATCACAAGTAGCCATGGAAAACTTGGAACTTCACAAGAAATAAGGTATATCCCGCTCTGACGGTTGAAAATGGAACTTTGCAAGATTTGAAACAAACCTGATGGTCTCGAGTCGACACTGAAGATGTTGTAGTTGCTTGAAGCCGAGATGCAAATAAAGAACAGAGATAAGGCGGAGAATCTACTTACATTATTTACGCAATGGCATTATACAAGTTTAGGCTCGAAAAGTTATCTATATAATAAAAGTTTTTTTCTTTTTTTCTTTTTTTTTTGTGTAAGCCATATATGCTTTTATTATTAGTCTTGGAACTATAAATTTAACCTTGAAGATATTGCGTCTCCTGGAACACGATTCTTCCAGTCGAACACGTGTGCTAAAGGCTGCTCCAAAACACTTAACAAACATAGAAAGCGAGTGTTGTTTCATTGGAGCAGCAAGCGCTTCTTCATCTCAGCTTCAGACTCTTCTTCTTCTCTGCGGCGAACTTCCTTCTTGTGGCTCGCAACCGAAGCCTCAACAAAAGGCAGGCTAGCCCGAAGGAGATGGCTGAGGTTCCTGCGGTTGGCTACCTTGTTCTCTTCACACTTCTGGGCCACATAATGCAAAACTCCCAGAGCTTTAGCCGCGATCTCCAAGTCCCCCCTGATGACGTTGTAAGGATGTGACAGCCTCTCCGTCCTCAAGGTGAAAACGTGGCTCCAAGCCGCAATCATCTGGAAGCGGGCGTCGTCCGACGCAAGCATTTTCTGCAGCCAAAGATTGTCTGGATACTTTGAAGCTACACTGTGTGCAACCTCCCAGAAGAGGCGAGCCCCTGTCCTACTAATTGCAGTCCTAAGACGAGCATCCGTCCTTGGGCTACTTCCCTTGTAAAGTGCATGAGCAAAACGACTAAAAGAATCCTTAGCCTCCCCCGATTTTAGGCTATCACATCTACATCCTCTGGATGCGGCACACTTTCTTGTTACCTGGTTGTACTCTACCTCTAATCTGATTATCCCCTCAACCACAAGCATGACTTCGGAACAGCCTAAAGCAGCAAGTGCATGGGCGCACTCGATCTCATTGCTTATCCTGTAATGAGTGACATACAGCTCACCGGGTTCCAGCATTCCTGGCGCATTCACCCTCCTCACCTTCCACACGGGAACACCCTGATCCCGGGAGATCTTGAAAATCGCCTCTTTCGAGCGCTCCAACACCGGAGAACAGCAGTAGATGTGGTGACCCTCCGCCATTGCAAAATCCAGTAGCCCTAATCAAAGTTCTTTTAGCCCTAAATTCAGGGTGAGCTGAGCATTGAGCATGGCGGCAGCGGTCGCTGGAGCCGGAGGATACTGCCACATGGTGGCACCGCCAGAGATCTCGACAGTTGCACGGGTGTTTGAGGTGAGCAAGAAGGAAGATGTTCCGGTTTGGAAGGGTAGGTTAGTGGAGGAAGAACAACTTTCTCATGTTGTTGTAATACTCATTAAAAGTTATTTCTAGCTCCTGAGTCTAAGATGGAATCAGGACTGAAACCGAGACCGAAACTGAGACCAAGATTGAGTCCGAATCTGAGACCGGGAATGGTTGCAATTCTTGATCATCTTTGCTCTAGAGGTTTTTGCGTTTTCCGAGCAATGGATCGTTTTGGAGCACTTAATTGCTTCCACTACAATCACTGATTCTAGGCATCCAATTGTTGCCAACACGTGAGCACACTCTGTCCCAGTCACTATCCCGTTCAGATGCGTAAGAAACACCTCTGCTTCTTCTTCTTTCTCTGCAGGGATGCCCCTATCACCGTGGATGCCCTCATTAGGAATAAGTGATGCCTATCCTAGCTTGCATTGGGACTCTTGTGGACGAAGACAAGCAGAAAGCTGGTTGCTTCAGCCGGTTCACCCATGTACTACACTAGGGCAGCAAGTTGGGCAAAGAAGGTCCAGTTGCTGATGTGATCCGAGCTGGGGGTGCACAACTCTTCTAGATGGTCACAAAGGCTATGATTGAAGATAACCCAAACAACAGTGGCTTGCAGCGGATGGTCAGCAATCTAGACACTCACATGGCAACTATGGCGGCTCATTGATATTTGCCCTTCCTAGAGGTTTGGGCCTTACCTTTGGGATGGAAGTGGGGGAGTAGGGGTACCTATATTGGGCCATTAGGCCATGGTATTTCCCCCTAGTGTCCGGAAGCAAGTGTTGCACCTAAAGCTTGGGATTTAAAGGGTTCCATGATTAAGTCTTGTTGTACCAAAGGATGTTAAGAACTTGGTGGTTTGGTGTGCTTGGTTGCTTGTGTTTGCGGAGAGTGTAATTGAACCTTAAATCTAATCTAACCTAGGGAAGGGGATTGGGAAAGATTTGAGAATCCGTGGATGGATGGCTAATGCTCCATTGTTTGTGTAGGGAGTAGTTGAAACCAAGTAGTACGAAGTAGGAGCTAGTACAATAGGTGGGAACCTTAACAAAGGAACTTAATTAAGGCTAAAGCAATATTGGTCGGATAGACGGGGTAAGCTAGTAAATTATAGAGGAAAAATTTATGGCTTACAATTTGGTATCAAAACTTTTTCCTCAGTTTTAGCGAAGGATAAAGGCGGATTGCTAAGAGATGACAAAGGTAGTTTGTAAGGCGGAGATAGAACCTCTTTTAGAGCTGGAGCTTCTAGTCAAACAAGAGGCTATGGATGAGGAATCCTTACATAAGGAGGACTCCAGTGAGGAAACTTCCAAACAGGAGTCCAGTGGTGAGGTTCGGTCATCCAAGGCTCAATTGGATGTTCTAGAAGGACAATTGGCTCAGACCAATGCCCTATTGGAGACTCTTGTATACAAAATAAAAAGCGGAAGAAAAAGTGAAAGACTACAGATGTTAGCAATGCAGAAGGTGTGGACCCTTTGGTAGGGACTGAGGTGGAACCGAACAAGGTCGAATAAATTAAAGTGGAATCAGTCCCTCAGGCAATTCCCAAGTACAAAATAAAGCCCCCATCGGTCTTCAAGGGAATGAATGACTATAAGGTGGTGGAGGATTGGTTTTATGATATGGAAAATTACTTCTGAGCGTTGTAGTTACTGAGCTTAAAGAAGGTCCCATATGCAAAACCATACTTGGCAGATAATGTTAAGTCTTAGTAGAGAACAACAGAGGCTAACAAAGGACCGGTGGCCACTTAAGAAATGATGGAGGTGAGGATTCGTACAACCTACGTGTAAGCTCTTAAACTTAGACTTCCCGGGAGGTCACCCGGGACAGTACTATTCAAACCCAAGGATGCTTAACCCAAAATATCCCAAAACTTTTAATCGATTGGAAAAGGGGGTGCACTCTTGTTTATGAGCCCTTTCCCTTTATATTTGAACCCCATGGATCGTCTATCGAGTCATTCCCTTTGGTTGCTTACAATCCACCATGCTTCTCTGCAAGTTCACACCCTCGTGAACGGAAGGTCACCCGGGACAGTACTATTCAAACCCAAGGATGCTTAACCCCAAATATCCCAAGACTCTTAACCGATTAAAAAAGGGGGTGCACTCTTGTTTATAAGCCCTTTCCTTTTATATTTGAACCCCATGGATCGTCTCTCAAGTTGTTCCCTTTGGTTGCTTACAATCCACCATGCTTCTCTACAAGTTCACACCCTCGTGAACGGAAGCTAAGAGCTACAGCAGCCCTGCTCTCTTGACACCCTACCCCTCAAGTCGAACCCAGCGGGAGCAAACTGGACTAGCCAGATGTCAATCAATATGTGGTGTGATTCCCTTAGCCAACTAACAAAGTCAGTCTCGAGACCCCTATGATACCTAAATTTGGACTTCCCGGGAGGTCACCCAGCCCAGTACTATTCAAACTCAAGAACACTTAACCCTAAATATCCCAAGACCCTTAACTGATTGGAAAAGAGGGTGCACTCTTGTTCATAGGCCCTTTCCCTCTATATTTGAACCCCATGGATCGTCTCTTAAATCATTCCCTTTGGTTGCTTACATTATGTTCCTCTAAATGCTACTCTGCACCTAAAGGATGAGTTAAGTAGACTGAAGCAGACTGAAACCATTCAAGAGTATATGAATGCGTTCATGGCAAAGAGGATACTTGTCATAGACATGGGTGATATAGATGCATTCCATACCTTCATATCAAGCTTGCAAATTTGAGCTCGTGGCAAGGTGATGTATTGGAACCCGACTAACTGCAAGGAAGCATTAGATGTAACTATCAAAGTGCATTTCAATGATAACCTACGAAAGGGGAACACAACAGGGTCA